TGTTTTTATGGTATTCATGTGTGTACCAAGCATGTCTCTGCATCTATGTGTTTGTTACGCTTTTTCCTTTGGCTCTTTCTCTTCTGTTTGTTTTGTCCTGTTCCAGTTTGGTTTTGCTTTATCTTGTAGTATTTTATTATTATTCCTTAGAAGACTGTTTTCTAAGGAGACAGAGAAGGTGTAGGTCTGGATGGGAGAGGAGTTAGAGAAGAACCAAGGCATTGGGGAAAGCCCTAATCAGAATACACTTTATGAAAAAAAAAAAATCTAAAAGTAAAAGAAAAAGTCATAGATGGAATCAAAACAACAAACAAAACAACAAGCAAAACAAAAATTCATTTTCTGGGGCTGAGGAGCTAAATCAGTGGATAGGGTGCTTCCTTTGAAAATGTAAGGACCTGAGCCTGAGTCTCCAACACCCACATACAAGTCAGTGCTGGGGCTAGAAGATGGCTTGTGGGGGTAAGAACCCTTGACTTGCTGCTCTTCTGGAGGGCTGCCCTTCCACCATCCACAGGGCAGCTCATGGCCATCTGACATCGAGTCCAGAGGATCCAAAGCCCTTTTTCTGGTCCCCAAGAGCACCAGGCATGCACGCACGAAATGCATATATGCATAAAATAATAAAAGAAACTCCTTTTAAAAGCTAGCTGCCCATGCCTATAACCCCAAAATTTAGGGGGAGGAGACAAGTGGATCAAGAGAGTTGGCTGGCAAGCTAGTGCAGCCAAAGCTTCAGGATTCCAGTTCTTCAGTAAGACGGAGTGAGAAGAAGCCACCTGATGTTCCCCCCATCTCCACACTTGGGCACACAGAGGTGTGCACCCCACAGCCTCACGAGTGTGCCACACCCACATGAAGCACGCAGACTTTTTTCACTAATACTTGTCTTTTCTTATCCCGGTCTCAGGCTTCCACACTAAATTAAAATATCTAATAAGAAGGGGGAAGCTGGAGAGATGGCTCAGCAGTTTAAAGTGTTTAATTCTGGCACAGGACTTGGGCTCCATTTCCAGCACCCACGTGCTAACTACAAACATTCTAACCCCAGTTCCAGGAGATGGATCCATTGCCCTCTTGATAGCCATGTGCACCAGACATGGTGATGCATGCATGGAAACATTCATACACATAAAGTTAAGTAAGGTTTTAAAACCTGAATAAGAGTTAATAAGAAAAAATTAAGACAGCATACCCACCCTACTTTCCAACCTTTTCTTTCCCAAAGGTATTGAACTCCTACTAATCTTCTTATAGCCACTTCCAGAGTGTAGGAGTTACCACGAATGGTGACACACACCTGTAATCTCAGCACTCAGGGAGGCAGAGGCAGGTGGATCTCTGTGAGTGCGAGGCCAGTGAGTCTAGGACAGTCAGGGCTACACAGAGAAACCCTGTCTCAGAAAAACAACAAAAACAAACAAACAAAACCAGAGTGCTGGAGTTACAGGAATGTGCCACCATGCTTAGTTTAATTATAGCTTTATATTGTTGTGGGATCAAACCTAAGGCTTTGTGTATGCTAGACAAGAAGTCTACCAACTGACCACATCCCCTCCATTTCTTTTCTGGCCAACAAGCCTGCTATGAATGAACTTCCACCAACAGTGACATTAGGCTTAACTAGGCAGAGAATGTGACACAGAATTCAGTGGTTAAAAGTTGCATTCAACATACTTCAGTAAACATTTGCAGAATGTTTCCTGAAAAGATATTATACATACACAGAACCAGAATACTACTTCCAGTCTTTAAGAACTAGCCACTGCAGCTGAGGAGGGTGGAGCATGTCCCTAATCCCTTCATAAGGCAAAGTAAAGAGGATATAGAGTTCTCATCCAGAAATTCCAGGCCAGCCTAACCCACTTGAGATCCAGTCTTAAGAAACAAAAATAGCTTTTTCATTTTTATTTTTTTTTAAGAGTCTAGGTGTGGTGGGGCATTCCTTTTGTCCTAGCTATTAGGAGGCAGAGGCAGTCAGGTCTCTGTGAATTCAGGCCAGGTGGGGCTAAACAACTATCCTAGACTACAGACTATTAGACTACAGACTAATACATCAGAAAACCACACAAATTTAATACAGACTAAAAGCATTAAAATATGTTAATGATGAAAGAGGTTAAAGGCAAGACATGTTAAAGGAACGATTAATCACAAGCCGAAGAAAATCTAAAAGGCTTCATGGTGGAGTCAACTCAGTCAGTGCTCAAAGAATAAGTGCAGCCTGGTCTACAAAGCAAGTCTAGGACAGCCAGAGAAACCCTGTGTCAACAAACAAATAAGTTAATTAATTAAATAATTGAATTGAACTCTACAGTGGTTGTGAGGACTAATGTAGAAACACTTAGAACTGTGTCTACTGGGTAACACATGCTCAAACATGATGGGATGTATAGCACTACATGCCTTTCACTAAAATGACGAGTGTCATTTGCCAGCATCATCTCACCTTAGCCTGAGATGAGAGACTGACCGTCTGTCTCTTCATGGACAGACAGCCACTACAAGGGATCCTTAATATCCCTCTCAGGTCTTCTCTAGCTGGAGTCCATCCAACCTTCCTTATTTACTCTGTAATAATACCTTTACAAAACTGGAAGAGAATTTTACAATATCATTTGAACTATAGGGAAGGTCCAATAAATAAATAAATAAATTATAGTAAATAAACTGTAGATAAGCCCTGTGCAATGCTTAACAAAGCTCTCACAAAATGAATTTATTTGTAAGTGAAAAAGACAAGCCAATGTAGTCACACTAATTCTTAAAGATGAAGCACTGAAATTTGCTGGACATGTATACACTACAGAGCCACTCAATTGCATGAATTTTTCCTTTAGCAAAGTCTCACAGCTAAAGGAAAAATTCATGCAGTTACTCATTTAAACTGGATCAAGGGACTGGCACTCTGCCAGACTCAGGATATATTGAAATGGACAGGAAGCAAATCCAAACCTGACATTTTAAATATATATATAATTTTTATCACGTGTGCATGCATGCAGAGGCTAGATGTTTTGGATCCTGTGGAGCTGAAATCACAAGTAGATGGCAATCAAACTCAGGACCTCTGGAAGAATAATATGACTTTTAACTACTGATCTATCTTTTCAACCCTGACATTTTTTTACTTATTAATTTTTTAAATTATTACAATTTATTCACTTTGCTTCCCGGCTGTAACGCCCTCCCTCCCTCATCTCCTTCCATGCCCCTCCCCCAGTCCACCAATAGGGAAAGTCCTCCTCTCCTTCCATCTGACTCTAGCCTATCAGGTCCTACCAGGACTGGAAGCCCAACATTAAAGATGTTATACAAGGTAAAGGGCCATACATGAAACACTTTGTTTTGAACATAGTCAGCTGTGGTGCAGGAATATCTTCTTAGGCAAACAATGGCTATCTTGCAGAGCTCAACTGTGCCACTTGAAAAAGATCGAGGGTAAGGCCAGGAGAGTCTCAATGGAGTATTCAGCCAGTACCTCTGTCCCAGTTGCACCTGGCCTAGGAGTGGGCCTAGAATACAGAGGTGGAGAAAGGCTGGGGACTGGGGGCTATTCCATCTATGTGGCTATAGAGTTAGGCTCAAAAGAATTACTTAAAGCCAGCAAGTTTCAAACTCATCAGTGAGGCCCTGCCTCAAAACCAAATTAGCCAAACCGTACCTTGGAGGTTGGTACTATTCCACTCTACATAAAGTGAGTGAACTGAGATGAATTTACTAACACATACGGTGTCAACAACAGCAGAGGTGCAGGCTCAGGATTCAGATGCAAGCAGCTGGAATTTATACTGCTCCCACAAAATAACAGTAACTCCGGATCGAATAAACAAAGCAACAGTAGGAGATGAGCAAAGAAAGTAAGCACCAAACTTCTTATGAATGCTTTCCTTTCCATTCTTTCTTGATTTTTTTTTTTTTTTTTTTTTTTTTTTTTTTTTTTTTTTTTTTTTTTTGTGACTGAGTTTCTCTATGTAGTTCCGGCTGTCCTGGAACTACCTCTAAGGAGCAGGTTGGCCTTGAACTCAGAGATCTGCCTGTCTCTGCCTCTTGAGTGCTGGGATTAGTGTTTGCCACCAGCTCCCGGGATGCTTTCCTTTTTGTGGATAAAACTAGTAACATCTAAACTGGCTATTTTGGCGCATGCCTGTAATTCCAGGATTTGTGAGGTTGAAGGCTGAGACCTTACGCCAGCCTGGGTAACTTAAACAAACGAGTGACTAAGCCTGGCAGTGATGGCGCACGCCTTTATTCCTAGAGGCAGAGGCAGGCAGATTTCTGTGAGTTCAATGCCAGCCTAGTCTACAAAGTAAGTCCAGGACAGCCAAGGATACATAGAGAAGCCCTGTCTTGAGAAACCAAAACAACAAAACAAGCAACAGCCCCAAGTGACCAGCAGGGGCTATGGAATGCTGATTCTGCCTCAAAAGCAATACAGGTAAATAAAATAAAGATGCAGTGAAATTTTAAAAACCGTCACATCCTTAAGCTTCTGGACTCTTGCCACGTGGAACCATTGTAAAGGAACTCAACCACTGACTCAACACGTGGTTTGAACCACATCCACTCCCCAACCTCGTTGGAGTACTCTATTCCATCCAGCGTCTGAGCAGCCCTTTCTGGAAGACGTGGAGCGGAACTCATGCTGCCGCTCAAAGAAGGATCCAACGTGGCCCGTCTTTTAAAAAAAAAAAAAAAAAAAGAAAGAAAGAAAGAAAAGAAAGGAAAAGATCTAGAAGGACCCAGGGACCCGTGGACAGGAGGGGCGGACGCACTCTCCCGGCATGCACCATAGGCCCGTCGACCACGCCCCCTGCGAGCTCCAAGGAGCACGTGTGCGGCCCTCCGCTCGGAAGCGTCCCCTGCGCGTTGCATGCTGGGAGTCGTAGTCCCCCGGGGCCCAGCCCGCGGGCTGCCGTCTGCGCCTTCTCCATGAGGCTGCTGCTGGCGCCGGTCCTCGCGGCAGGACGCAGGGAGGCGTGCCTCGCGCTGACTCAGCGGCGGCGTTAGTGGGCCCCTGCGCAGTTTTTCCTTCCAGGGCCACCGACCCCGCCCGCCGGCTCGCCAACCTGCCCGCCCCGCTCTGCCCCGCCCCGCTCCGCGCCACGCAGAAGGCGCCCGGGGAACGCCGAGCGCCGAGACGAGCGCGGCCCGGGCCGGCTCCGGCGCTAGCGCTGCGGCTGTAGCGGAGGACTACAGCGACAAGGACGAGGGCCGCCCTCTGTACTCCCTGCGTGCGGCGCCGCTCCTGGCGGCTGGCCGGCCCTCGGGAGTACGGGCGAGGAAGAGATACTGGAGTGATGGTAGCTAGAGGCTGGGGGCGGCGGGCCGGGCACCCTGCGTGGCCGGGAGGGCCGGACTTGGGCTTGTGGGACGAGTGGTGGCGGCTGCGTCCCGAGTGCGTGGCTGCCGGTTGCCGGGTGTTTCATCACCCTAGTGGCCACGAGGCTTCGCCCAGGGAGGGATCTGGGAGAAGGAGAGGGGTCGAGGCTGGCCTAGGAGGCTGCCCCACCGACCCTGTTTGTGATCCGTTTCTAGCGCGTCCCACCAATTTCAGCTGTAGAGACCTCAAAGTTGAGTTGCTCCCCACCCCGGGATAAATATGGAGAAAGTGTTATCTCTGCGTAGTAATTTGCCAGCACGGACACCCCTTTCCTCCTCTTTGCTTCTTTATAGTCTTGCAGCGGTGGAGAAGCGTGATGTTTCCCTGTAACCTGAAAAACGAGTACTTTTCGAAAGCCTTAATTAGTTGTTACTGGGGGAAGTTACGTTGTATTAAAGCGACTTGTCAACTTGATGTTAAAAGGCTGGAAAGATTAAGTCGTTCTCAAACAGGCTTAAGTAGGTGTGGAGGAATTTTCCACATTGTCTGATTCTTGACTTAATGGCTAAGGAAAAATGAAGACTTCGTGTTTTAAGTGTATTTCTCGCCCCCGCCCCCAGCGCATCCACCTTTGGAGGTGGTATAAATGTTTACCATGTTGTAACAATGTTTAAGCTTCCAAGGCTCTGTCGGTCAGAATTGTAAGCGTCCTTTCCCAGTCTTTAATGGGAAATGGTTACCTTTTAACTCCAGCTGAGCTTTATTCACAGACGGGTGATTTACCACGTCTGTTTTGATCATCCTAGTGTTTTTTCCGAATGTGTAGAAGGCGAAGGTTTGTAAGGAATTCCTTCTCCGTGGACAACTGTAACAAGTTTGCTTAGGGTTTTTTTGTTGTTATTGTTGTTGGGGCTTTTTTTTTTTTTTTTTTTTTTCTCTTGTGTGAAATGACAAAAAGCTTAAGCAGTTTCCCCCCAAAAGCAATGGATAATTTAAAGGAAGTCTAGAGGATTTCTCAATCATGGGTTTACAGAAATTCTTAAACTGACTTTTCTCTCTGAGGATAAATAAGGGGAATAGTACTTACCTTTTCCTGGTGAAACCATTTTGCTTTTCCATCTGTTCACAATACCATTCTACTTTAAGAGTGTTCATCTTCTTTGCCTACCTCTAAATTTATAACATGTTGGGGGCATGCTTTGCACGCATTGTAGTCCTTGAGACGTTGCCTCTTTTCCTGCTGACTGAGTCGAATGCCTCCGTTTTTGTTTTGTTTTTGAGACAATCTCACTGTGTAGCTCTGGCTAGCCAGAACATCCATATGTAGATAGACCAGGCTGTCTTTTGCAGTCAGAGATCCCCATGCCTCTACCTCCCAAGCCATGGTATTAAAAGGTTTATACTTCTGACTATTGATTGTTTTGGTGGTGTTTTTTTTTTTTTTGTTTTGTTTTGGCTGCTTGGTTGACTGCTTGCTCTCTTGCTTGGGTTTTCCAGACAGGGTTTCTCTGGGTAGCCCTGGCTGTTTTGGAACTCACTCTGTAGACCAGGCTGGCTCGAACTCTCAGATCCACCTGCCTCTGTCTCCTACATGGTGGGATTAAAGGCATGCACCACCACTGCCTGGCTTGTTTCTGTTTTGTTTTTTTTTTAATAATAATATTGGAATATACATCTCAAACTTTAAACATTATATTTCTTTATCTTGTATATGTATAGGTGCCTATGAGTGTATGCTGTATATGTGGAGAGAGGAGTCAGTTCTCATCTCCCACTGTGTGGATCTGGGGAATCAGAAGCCTCAAACCCAGAACTTTAAAAACCAAAAACCTGTAGTTTTGAAATTTTAGGAACACAGTGATGCATGTTTCCCAGTGTTTGTTTGTTTGTTTGTTTGAGAAACCAAGTTATCCATGACAATGTGGTAGAGCTTGGATGGAAGGGGTATCTAATCCAGTTTTGGTAGGGTCAGACAGTAGGGATCAGAGCTGTACTCCTGCATGAAGTGGTCTGTAAGTTGAAATCAGAAGGCCCGCGGGGTTTAACGTCATAGCTGAAAAGAGCCAAGTATTGCAAAGATGAACAGTAGAATACCATTTGAGAACTTCCCGCAAGGTGTTGTTACTGGACAGCATGCAGATTGTGAGGGGTTCTTGACAAGTATTTATCTTAATCCTGTGGGCAGTAGGGACTTAGATTGCGCTGCTGTGGCCTGCAGAGTTCCTGTGAGTGGTGAGAGGAGAGGTTGAGCTTTCTTTCCAAAGCTCTAAGCCTAAGAGTCCAGATTTTTTATTCCAAAAGGACTAAGGGATGCAGAAAAGTATAGGGATCTTGCAGCCCAGGCTTGGCTCCACCAACCCTACAATAATGGTACACCATGTATTATCTCTTGGTCTCTTTAAGTTTGTTCTCTATGGCTCTAATAATTTAAGAATAGATAAATAAAAAAGTTTTATAGCTTTATGATAGGAGTGTAAGACCTAATCTCCCTATCCTCACAGTGTTCCAGAGAGTAAAATTGTGTGTTTGGTGTGTCTGTGAGTGTATATGTGCAGGTGGGAGTCAGGGATCTATATTACTTGTCTTCTCTGTTGATTTTCACTATATAATGACAATTTCACTCTTTGGTTTTTCAAAACAGGGTTTCTCTATAGTCTTGGCTATCCTGGACTGGCTCTGTAGACCAGGCCAGCCTCAAATTCACAGTGACCCACCTTCCTCTGCCTCCCCGAGTGCTGGGATTATAGACTTGTGCCACTGAGCTCGGCTAATGACAATTTTGTATATGTATATAATACATATTTATCAGAATGCCCCCTTCACCTTAATTTTTGAGACAGGGTCTTCCTGAACCTGGGCCTCACCAGTTTGACTAGCATAGCTGGCCAGAGAGCTTTGAGGATCTGCCTGTTGTTCCCCCACCACCGCAGTTCTACCACACTTAGCTTTCACATGGATGCTGGGGAGTCATTTTGTCCAGGTCAGAGTGCAGGAAGCAGTTTACCCACCAAACTATCTGAGGACAGTGTTCACATCATAAGCTCATTCCATGTGTATGCAGAAAAGCAGGATGTCTGTCAAATACTAGCTGGCTTTGGGAGCTTTTTGTGTTCTGGCTTGAGAATATTAGACTGTATTGTGAGGTAGATTACTTTCAAGAGATTTAGGGGAGAGGAAAGCTGTGGAATGGGGAAAGCTGAAGTGAGAGAAGTCATTTATGAAAGATGTTTCTAGAACTGGCTGGCAGAATTAGCTCATTGTTCCAATGACTGGTTTTTCATTCTTTAGCCCTTTTTTTATTTAACTTCTCTTGTCCTATGTGTAGACATAAATAAGTTATATAGTGAGACTCCACAGAGGAAGACATGTAAAAGAGACCTCTGACTTCCACCTGTACATACACACATAAAAGAACATGCAGACACATGTGTAGTAAGGGTATTAAACTGAGGTGAGCCAGTCTCATGTTTCTAAAGATGGTTTATGTTCGTATCTAAGCGTAGGGGATTTCTTACAGCCACGGAAAGAAGCGAATATAGAGGTCTTTTTCCCAGGCACACATCGTGCAGCAGATAGGTCCCAACGCCGCATGCATGTGTCTAGAATTGCTTTCTGTCCTTGGCTGGCCAGCTTTGCAGGACAGTTCTACCCGAAAGCCTGATCAGCGTGCTCGGTAAATGATGCTGTGTGCTGCAGGGTCCGCTCTTGCTCTTGGAGACCTAGGCTCCCTTCCTTGAGCTTAGGTGGATTTTGACTCTTCGGGAGCTGAGTATTTTCAGCCACTTCTTACGTTCCAGACAGTCGTCTTTTTGTTTTGTGTGTGCAGATGATTGTGGATTCTTCTGTGGGATTAGAAGCCACATCTATTGTGATCGGGAAACTCCAGGAATAGCAGCAGAGATGGATGAGCAGGCGCTTTTAGGGCTAAATCCAAACGCCAATTCAGACTTCAGACAAAGGGTAAGTCCGGCGATTCCATCATGTTTAAAAGCCTACTACCCGCAAATGTGCATTAGAGGACTTAGAAAACACATCTGATGGTGGAGGTATAATTTGAGTAAACATTAATAGAGCCAGACAGATTTGAGGTGTGTTCTGAATATTGGAACATCAAGGCTGCGACTGGGTTTTGTTAAACTGTCTGCTGAAATCTGGCCTGTTAAGGCAGGTCTGTGTGCAGCGTCAGACACTTGTAATTGTTGCAGAGTTGTAACACGGTTACAGCGGTAGGAAGCGTGTGCCGTCGTGGTGCATGTTTTAATCTTTCATTTCTTAGCTTGGACTGCAAGTTGCTTAGCTCTCAGTGACAGCTAGCCCCTTGTTGTTTCGTCTTTGCAGGATAGAAATAAGCCGCCCTTTAAGTTACGTAAAGCGATTTTGTGGCAAGAAGTCCATTAGGAGATGCTGGTATATTTGGATAAATGTAAACAGCTAAACCTAATGTAGCATGTAAACTTAATAAGGACCTTAGCTGAATGATAAAAGAAGACTCTAAAAGAAGAAGCCTTTAATTAATTTTTAAAGATGTGAGTGTTGTGAAGTTTACAATCGGAAGAAGGAGGGGCTTTTCTTCCTCCTCGTAGCAAAGAAGTGGAAAGTGAGCTGGTGTTAAGGGTCTCACTAAGTATTACATCTCTATCTGCTTTGCTTCTAAGTAGTAAAAACTTTTTAAAAGTGGCTTAAAAAAATGAATAGATAAAAAAACCTCCCAAGCAGTTTCTGATATGCTCTATGCTCTGTTGATAAATGTGTAACCAGCCCTCCAAATATAGCAGATAATAGGAATCTAGGTGGCAATATCTAGTCAGAATCCTAGAAGTCCCAATTTCGGTATATAAATGGTTTTGTTTTCATAGGGACTACCTGCTTTCCCAGTAGCTGGGACATTGCAGTTTTTATGTTGATATAATTAAAGGCTTTTAGCTATTTTAATATGTGTCAAACAATTTTGAATTTTTGTTTGCTTGCTTTCATAGTAGTGGGAATTGAACCTAAGCAAAGACGCTCCTAGACACTTGAGTTTTTGAAAGCTTTTTGGTTTGGTTTTGGGTAATTTTGGGGGGGGGGGTCTGTGAGAACAACTTCACTATGTGGGGTTCCCAAGGACTTTATCAGAGCTAGTGTTTTGGTTTTTTTTTTGTTTTGTTTTGTTTTGTTTTTGTTTTTGTTTTTTTGTTTTTTTGAGACAGGGTTTCTCTTTGTAGCCTTGGCTATCCTGGACTTGCTTAGTAAACCAGGCTGGCCTCGAACTCACAGTGATCCCTTGCCTCTGCCTCCAGAGTGCTGGGATTACAGGCCTGCGCCACCACACCCGGTTTACAGACTTTTTTTCTAACATGGTAATGTGTGGATTCCGAATCCAGAGACAAACATGGAAAGAGCTGCGGTTATTTCCTCCCCCGCTCCTTCCCCAGCTCTGGTTTAAATACCCAACTTTAGTTTAAATAAAACCTTTCATTTGATTTTTTTGCCCAAGCTAACCTCAGACTTGCTACATAGCTGAGAATGGCCTTGAATATTGGATCTTTCTGCCTCCACCTTGTACTTAGGTAACAGATAAGCACCACCATACCTGACTGTGGTGGCTGGGATCTAGCCTAGGGCTCCTACCCTAGCAGGCAGTCTACCACCGGAGCTGTGCACCTGCCTCTTGCTGCTGCGTAAGGGAAAGAGTATGCTGAGCCCTTCCTTTGTTGTGAGTGATCCTTTAGCAGCACGCGGAAGTGACTTCATTGGTCTGCCCTCCTAGCTTCTGAGATGTTCCCCATGAGAGCCCTGGTTTTGTAGAAACTGACATGCAGACCATCTGTACCTCTGAGGACTGCCTGCTAAATCAAGGACCACCACCTCCTGCCACAGATTTGATAATTGGCTACAATGGCTCAGGACTCAGCTTAACATTGCCAGTTGGTTAATAAGGATTCAACTCAGAAGCAGCCAAATGGAAGAGATGCTTAGAAGGGTCAAGGGCTTCTGTGCATTTCTGCCTCCTGCCTTAGACCATAAAAGTGTTCAGCTTAGAAGGTGGGGTTTAAGAGATTGACCCCTCCATCTTCTCCACATGTTACTGCTCTGTCCATCCCAGATTAGTCACTGGGCTGAGAGTTCTATTACTTTTAGCATTTACTTATGGTGTGAGGGTGTGTTTGCTGATGTCATCCTTTCACAGACCCTTTTACAGTTGTATATACCTTAATGCACTTGATAAAACACTGAGGCATTGCGCCTGTCATCTTCATAACCCAATGATCTGCAGGGTGTTTTTGCGCCATCTCCTTTACTGTAAGGAAACTGTCTTTAGTGTCTAACTGATAGTTGGTCACTGATCTATTTTTAGACTTGGTCTGCATTTTGCACATATTCAGAGGCCTGGATTGGATGTTTTAATTGATTTATTAAGTCCAAATTGTTGTTGATTTTTGGTTCAATCCATCCTTTGTTGAGTGTGAGTATCAAACATGTTGCTTTGTTTTGCACCCTTGCAGGCCCTGGCTTATTTTGAACAGTTAAAGATCTCCCCAGATGCCTGGCAGGTGTGTGCAGAGGCACTGGCACAGAAGACGTACAGGTAAGACAGACAGACTCCATATTGTCTGGAAGGAGCAGCATCACTGTGCAGCAGTTTAATTTTTCCATTGGGAAGTGTTTTTATAAAAAGCGTTTTATGACTTGCCTTTTAGAAAACTGTTAGTAGGGTGAAAAGAGAAATAGCAAACCAATATTTGAGCTAATCCAGAATTGATTTTTCAGTAAAACTGTCCTTTTATGTTTGTTATGTACCCGAGAGCCAGTCCCCACCGGAATAGGCTGCACTAAACATGTCTTTGTCTTATTGGGAGTTGGTAACGGAGTTAAAACAAACAGTAACTGAATATTGATGTGATATTGGTGTTGGGACCAAGGTCTTGTCATTAGTTGTCATTGCACCCATAATCCTCCCTGTACTTTTTCCAGCATGGGCCTCAGTGGAGAATTGAGGATGGTGAAAGCAGACCTCCAGATATTTCCTCCCGTTCTTTGTCCTGCTTGCTGAGGCCTTTCCACACGGAAAGGCTTGTCCTGCAATGTGTCTTTTTCTGTTTAGTCTTTCAAAAACAACAAACACAGTTTCACAGAAACAAAAACTTGCATACTCATTTCATAGTTAGCGTCTTATTAAAGGAGAGAAACAGGCCTAGCAACGCTTGTGGGAAACAGTTATCTAGCAGAAGCCCGGAAGGGTTAGTGCTGGCCTTCTGGCTGGAGTCCTGAGTGCTGTGCCCGCAGTGCTGTTTGGCCGCAACCTCTTGCTTGACTTGTTCTTTCCCCCATCTTAGAGTGTCTCCATTCCTACTGCTCTTCATAGGAAACACAGTCCCTGCACAAAGCCTGTCTCACGCTCTGCCCATCTTACTGAGCAGCTTCGGGGCTCTGAAGGACTTTTGTCGGGACTGTTGCCTGTATCACACCTAAAGAGGGAGTTAGAAATAGATAATGGACTGTTCGTTTTCCCATCTTACAAAGGTATCTTTATTTGTAGCTTAGTTTTTTTGTGTGAACTTTGAGGGTGGTCTAAGAATTTTCCTACCTACCCTATTTATTTTGTATTTGGCTCTAAGAATACTGACTAATGAGGCTTAAATTTCAAGTAGGCCAAAGATGGCATCTTTGATTTGATCAGTCTCTTGCAGCTGTGCCGTTTCATTTTTCTAACCATTCTAAAGCAAAGCACAGAAATTGTTGCAGGAACCTTTACTCTTCTCATTAGAGTCTAGGGAAATGGCCTCTATTTACGAAGTACTGTGTTTAGGGTATGTATTAGAGCTTGTGGTTCTGTGGCATGTAAAATGTAATGGGGCAGCCACTTGAGGCGAATTGTTTTTAGAGCTCCCTTAACCCTTTAAACAGGGTTTGGTCCTGTGGCTCATTGGTAGAGACTTTGCCTAGAATTGATGAGGCCATGGGGTCTGTACCCATGAAAACAACGACAATAATAAAAATAAAGTCAAATAGTGTTGGTAAGCAGAAAGCCAGCCAGGATGCCTAGTTTGAGGAATGTCACACTTGTTACTGATATTTTGCCTTTCTTTCCCCAGTTTATTCTCTGATTGTCTAATTTCCTTTTGCTTTTTCAGTGATGATCACATAAAGTTTTTCTGCTTCCAAGTATTAGAACATCAAGTTAAATACAAGTAAGGCCTTTTTGCTTTTTTTTTTTTTTTTAATCTCAAAGATTTGTTGAGACAGGTGTATTTTAATTGGGATTTTCATCCTTGAGGAAACCAAAATACAGATGGTAAACTAACAGAGTAGTTATGGTCTATGAATGTGTTTTATTTATTCTAAACTGAGTTAGTTAGCCTACAGGCTGATGCCGTAGACCACATACCTCAGTACATAGTCTGAAAAATCACACAGATGTCATGAACTGAGCCATAAGTCTGAGGTTGATGACTGTAGCCTATCTGATACTCTGATTCCTTAAAACTGCTAATGGGCTTCCTGAATGCTATAAAACGCTGTGCATCTAATAGGTGAGACTTACTGTCACAACCATAGACCCCAAATGTAGTCACTGTTCTCTGTTTCAACAGGTACTCAGAACTAAGCACTGCTCAACAGCAGCTGATTAGGGAGACGCTTCTCTCATGGCTTCAAGCTCAGGTAAAATGCATTTCATTCTGTGTCAACTGTTTCCTCTTTCATATCTAAAGGACTGGTCTTGAAGATCATGGGCAGAAATAATGATAACTTAAGATAGTGTTAATAACCTAAACTGTTATACTTTTCCATAACATATTGTAGAAACTTTAATAAAATTTTTTTGGACCCAGGGTCTAACTATGTAGCCCTGGCTGTCCTAGAACTCCCGTGTCTTCCTCTGAACTGCCAGGATTAAAGGTACCTGCCACCACACCTGGCTGAAACTTTAGCTTAAAAAGTTAGTTTTTTTTTTTTGTTTTTTTTTTTCCCAATTTTTAAGCTTTCTTTTGTGTCTGTGAGTATGCCTGTGTGTGGGTATGTAACCTGACTGAGGTACCCACAGAAGAGGCTGTTAGATTCCCTGGAGCTGGAGTTACAGGTTGTTGTGAACTGCCCAATATGGGCTTTAGAAGCTGAACTCAGGTTCTCCACATTCGTGTACCTCGCTGCAGAGGCATCTCTCTAGCCCCTAGAATTTATTGGTGTTATTAAACTCCACGACAGTAACTGCTTCATTGTTTGCTCCTTAGAGCTGGCCTGTGTTGACACAGCCTCTACAGGGGACCAAATGAGTTGTTTATTCACACGTATTTCTTTTGGTTAATTGTAGTTAAGCTTAACTTGTAAAGCTTCGAATGTAACCAGTTTTTTCCTTTTAAGAGTCAGCCAAGGAAAGAAAAAATTGAAGTTTTTTTTTTTCTTAGAAGAAATTACATCAATTGTTAAAATTCTTTTCATGAAAATGAATGAGATTCCTTGGCTCATGCCAATATCTTAGTATTTAGGAGGCAGAGGCAGGAGATTGTCACTGAGGCCAACCTGGGGCTTGAAATAAAACACAACAGAAGCAAAAAACAGACAAACACAGGCCTGGGCTGGGCCTGGCAGTTCAAACCTTAGATCCCACACAAACACAGAGGCTTTTAAGTCAGGTGGCTCTCTCTGAGTGAGGCCAGGCTAAGCTACATCATAAGACCTGAGCCAAAACAAGCAAAACTTTCCTGCTGCAAAAAAAAGGAATAGGTCTATGTTTTTCTGGTAGAATACTGGAGTACGGATTAATCTCCAGCACTGTAAGAAAATAGAAATTCTAAGAGGCATCCATTTTTGCTTTGTTGTTGTTTTTCTGTTTCGTTTTGTTTGGGACAGGGTTTCTCTGTGTAGCCTTGGCCGTCCTGGACTCACTTTGTTGACCAGGCTGGCCTCAAACTCACAAAGATCTGCCTGCCTCTGCCTCTGTCTCCTGAATGCTGGGATTGTAGTTGTTGTGCCAGCACACTGGCTGTAGGCATTATCTTGTGTTCATCGTGTGACCAGTCATACACACACTTGAGTAATTTTGCACAGCTATGCTGCTACTGATCTGGGCAATGTTGAAGTTTAGTTGCATTTTTGCCAAGTAATGATAAATAGAAAATAAAATAATATGCATTTAAATAGTCTGAATTTAATTTCATGGATGTTTCTGTTTGCCAGATGCTGAATCCCCAGCCAGAGAAGACCTTTATACGAAATAAAGCTGCCCAAGTCTTCGCCTTGCTTTTTGTTACAGAATATCTCACGAAATGGCCCAAGTTTTTTTTTGACATTCTCTCAGTTGTGGACCTAAACCCACGGGGAGTGGACCTGTACCTGCGCATCCTCATGGCCATTGATTCAGAGTTGGTAGATCGTGACGTAGTCCATACGTCAGAGGCAAGTACCCTCACAAGGAGCCTCGCATGGAAGGGTTTCTTCGTGTAGGGTTTGCAGGGCAACGAGCATAAGACAGGCAGTCTTTCTCCTAAATTACAGGCGTGCCTAGCATCTTGAATCCGCCAACAGTGAAATTTAATCCTCCATAGATTGAAATCAGAGCATTATGTAGAGTTTTACAGCTAAGCCACTGTAGTCACCAGTGGAGCACAAGAGTTCACCTTCCCTCAGTCCTGTGAAATGCCATCCACACTTAACACTTCTGGACACGCAGAAAGCATTGGTTTGTGATGTGGATGTCAGTGCCGCACCCCTAGAGTCTCAGCCAGTCACAGCACCCAAGCCCATTTTCCTGTCTTTATTTATGCATCTAGACATCTCTGTTGTCTTTTTTTTTTAATTGGTTTGATACAATGCTATGATTGGGTGTACTGTTTCAGCACTGCCAAGAAAGTCTTACAGCTCTTACAGCTGAGCGCAGTGTGACTTCAGCCTTACTCCTAAAGGTGCTCGTGAGTCAGTGCAGCTGCAGAGCACTTGCCTAGTGTGCAAGAGGCTGGGTTTGATCTCTCTCACTTCAGTATAAAAGTATAACGTGTGTGGGAATTGCTAGGCGGCGGCTGCGCACACCTTTGATCCCAGCACTTGGGAGGCAGAGGCAGGTCTAACTCCGAGGCCAGCCTGGTCTACAGAGTAAATTCCAGGACAGCCAGGGCTACACAGAGAAACCCTGTCTCAAAAAACATGGCCTGGAGAAATGTCTCAGAAGTTAAGAATACTGTCTGCTCTTCCAGATGTCCTGAGTTCAAGACCCAGCAACCACATGGTGGCTCACAACCATCTATAATGGGGTCTGATGCCCTTTTCTGGCAGGCATACATGCAGATAAAACACTCATATGTAAAATAAATCTTTAATAAAACAAAACAAGAGTGTGGGAATTTGAACTGGATGTTTCTAGCACTTGGGAAATTGGGATGGGAGTCTCTCAAGTTTGAGACTATTCTGAGTTATGTATTGAGAACCCTATCTTATGAAAAAAAAAACAGCTCCCCTGGGAATAGCTTTAAATGTACATAATTTAAAGGATATTGTACATTTAAGTCACTGCCATTTCTAAATAGCTTAAGTAAGTACTATGTTTGTCTAATATTTAGAAATAATTTCACATGCTTAAAATTTTAAACAATGTTTATTTATAGTTTGTATTTAATGAATTAGGTCTGGCACCAAGGAGTAGAACGGAAAGAGGAAACACAGAGAATCACAGGATGTAATTTTAGAGCAGATAAATAGGAAACCATGGTGGGGACTGTTAACAAGCCTGGACGTCTCATGTAGAGGAATTTGCTGTGTGCAATTGTACTTGAATGCCAAGTGCTGTCTCATAATCTTCCCTGTCTTTGGTGCTTTGTTTTTAGGAGGCTCGCAGGAACACTCTGATAAAAGATGCCATGAGAGAACAGTGCATTCCAAATCTGGTGGAATCGTGGTACCAGATTCTACACAGTTACCAGTATACTAACTCAGAAGTGCTGTGCCAGTGCCTTGAGGTTGTTGGGGCTTATGTCTCCTGGATAGACTTATCCCTCATAGCCAATGACAGGTGCGTGCCCTATGCGTCTTGAACTCTGAACCTGCACAGTCGGCATCCAAAACTGATGAGCTGAAAATGTTAACATCTTCATTTCCCATCGCCAGGTTTATAAATATGCTGCTAGGTCACATGTCAGTAGAAGTTCTTCGGGAAGAAGCATGTGACTGTTTGTTTGAAATTGTAAATAAAGGGATGGACCCTGTGGATAAGATGAAGCTAGTAGAATCCTTGTGTCAAGTATTACAGACTGCTGGGTTTTTCAGCATTGACCAGGTCAGTGACTCTCTTAAAGTCAAGCTTTGAAAACTGCCAAAGAAACTAATTCCCTCTCTCTGAGTTTTGGGGAATGTCCTTGGACATTCTGAGAGCCACATCTATTATCTGTAGCATTTTCCTTGCACACTTGGTTACACTCATTCTGGATGAGTATACAGTCAGGATGACACATGCATTTTTCAAGTTTACAGTGCTGCGTGAGGAAAAGGATTCCTCAGACATCTTTGAGGTATATATATATTTATGTATGTATATTTTAGTGTGTGTCTGTGTATGCGTGCGCCAGACACACACGCACACACCATAGTGCTCTTGGGGGGGGTCAAAGGACAACCTCATGGAGTCAGCTCTCTCCTTTTGGGTCCCACGATGGAGCTCTGGTTGTCAGGCTTGGTAGCGGCCTTGCCTGGTCCTAAGACATCTTTGTTTTGGTGATGATGTCAGTAATATGGCTCTAGTAGTACATTCCTTCTTCATGGACCAAAGGTTGCTTTATTACCTTCTGCCATCTTACTTAATACCTGGGGCTTTTTAAGAAAAGGAAATCTGACATTGTAAAGAGCAATCCTCTGTCTGTGGGAGAACAGCTTAAGGGTAAATAATGGAAATAATCCGGGTCTGCCTGTAACATTGGCAGTTCCAGAAAGGGCTGTTAAGTCATTACGTACACAGTGCGCCAGGGTTGACATTGAAGGACTGTGCTTAGTATACTGGACGGTCAGAAAGTTCTGAAGCTTCTCTCTTACACTTTTGTTTTTAGACAAACTTGGTAATGCACAGGACTACCATCACTTTTATAACTGTCGCAGGGATGGAAAAGTGGCTCAGTCATCACAAGCAGTGGCCACTCTTGCAGAGTCTGTAACTGCAGATCCTGGGATCCAGTGCTCTCTTCCGGTCTCCCTAAACTCCAGGCATACAGTTGCATAGATATACATGCAGGCAAAAACACGAAACGTAGAAAATATTTTTTTTTATTAATAAAACAAAAACAGTTGCTTTTAGAGTACTACTATGTGATAATGGTAGCAGAAAAATTCAAATGCTGATTAATTTTCCTATCATAACGACAAAATTGGCAGTTGTTGTTTTAACATTGAGCCCTGAAAACCAGCAAAATGCTCAGCATATAAAAATACTTCCTTAAGGTCCTTATGATCTGGGCTGGAGGGAAGGCTCAGTGGTTAAGAGCACTGTCTGTTCTTTCAAAGGACCCAGTTTAATTCCCAGCACTCACATGGCAGCTCACAACTTTCTGTAATTCCATTTTTAGGGATTCTAACACCTTCATTAAAATACACATAAAATAAAATAAACTATTTAAAAAAGAAAGAAAAGCCTGAGACCCTTGTGACCTGAGTTCCATTTCTGAAACCCATGGTGGAGGGAGAAAACTGACTGCCCCCCCCCCCACTAACCCCTGCATGTTTGACACAGATTACACAATCCTTGTTAGACTGAACCCTGTTACTGGCTGGCACTGCATTCATGCTAAAGGTCAAAGGTTTTCCTCTTCCCTGAGGCAGGTGGCTGTAATCAAAGTCTCTGCTTCTTGCTTACAGGAAGAAGATTTGGACTTCGTGGCCAGATTTTCTAAGCTGGTAAATGGAATGGGACAGTCATTGATAGTTAGCTGGACTAAATTAATTAAGAACGGGGCTGTGAAGAATGCTCAAGAGGCACTTGAAGCTATTGAGACAAAAGTACCACTTATGTTACAGCTGCTAGTTCACGAGGACGATGATATTTCCTCTAACATTATTGGATTTTGTTATGATTACCTTCATATTTTGAAACAGGTGAGTCGTCACTCTTTCTGTCTAGTAGATACACAGAAATTGAAATACAGAAAATTGAAAATACAGAAAAAAGTAAAAAGGAAAGACCCATAAGCCTTGTCCAGTAATATGTATATAGATATTACATATCATATACATAATATATACGGTTACGTATTGACTGTATTTCTTTTTTATACTATTTTCATTTAAGAAATTAAAAAATTAAACAGAAGATGATTAAGTGCTAAAATGCAATGACTGGACATGGTGAGCCATTCCTGTAATCCCAGCACTTGGAGTGGGGACTGGGCTCACCATCATCTGCTATACAGCTGGTTGAGGGCCAGCTTGAGCAGCATGAGTTCCTGCCTCAAAAGGCACACATTGTTTTTGATTGTTTGTTTTGTTTTTTTATGGGTTCCATTACAGTCGTTTACAGGAGCGTAGCTAGCATAGCTAGTGAGGGCTTGTGTACAGGAGCATGGAGGCTTTACCAGTGGCTGCATCAACGAAGAAAATGTCTGCCTGTTCCTTAGCAACCATGACAGTTCCTCAAGGAGGGACAAGGCCTCTACAATACCCTACCCTTCACCCCGCAGTCCACATCAGAATGTTGGTGCCCATTCCTGTGCAGTTAACCATAGGGGCTGAGTGCGTAAGTGGCGCATCACACTCAAAAGTCGGCATTCCACACCACTGCGCCCTTTGTAGGTGGGCTGCTTAGGTGTTGTTTGCAGTGCTGGAAACTGAGCCCGGAACCTGGAATGTGCAAGGCGATCCCTATCACCCCTGATCCCTATCACCCCTCCACCCGAAGCTTCCTTAATTCTTAGGTGCATAACTGTTTGCATGCAGAATTTCAGGAATTTTAGGTTTGTAGAACCTGATCATCCCACAGCATTATAGTTTAGGTTTGCTTTGTTTTAAAAAACTAAGAGTACTTGTGCATGCCTTTAATCTTGGCTGTTGGTGGGGCAGGGGTAGATCTCCGAATTCAAGGCCAGACGTCTATGGAGAGCGCTTCTGGCTGGCATGGCCACATAGTGAGGCCTGCCTCAAAAACCAAAAGCACCCTTTACTACCTTACAGTAATTCTTTCTAAATGCGCGATAAATAGCTTACTCAAATTAACCTATATTACTGCCTGTATATCAAGTTATTTTTTGGACATAATGTTATTAAATGTTTTGGGGTTTTTTTGTTTTTTTCTTCTCAACAGGGTTTCTCTGTGTAGCCTTGTCTCTTAGACTTATTTGTAGACCAGGCTGGTCTAAAAACTCAACAGAGATCCACCTGCAGGCGTGCGCCTTCATACCTGGCCAAATTGTTGCGTCTTAAATTAGGAATCTGTTAACTATAGATGTGCTGTCAAACTACTTAGCAGATATGTTTGTATTTTATTTTCTTATTGGACCCAGGGACTTGTGCATGCTGGGAAAATGTTCTACTCCCTAATTGTGCCACCAGCTCCTGTGTATGTTTTAGGAGATACTGATTAGAAGAGTACTTTGATAAACAAGTATAACATCAGAAAACCAAATAAATTATTGTTTACATTTTATTTTAAGCTTCCAGTGCTCTCGGATCAGCAAAAAGCTAATGTAGAGGTAAGTGGCTTCTTATAAACTACTGACAGACATACACACCACCCCCACCACCCCCGCCCATCAGTGAGTTTGTTGGGGTTATTTCCTGACTGTGGGTGAGGAGTTAGTTACCTGAGCAAAGGCATCTCAGAGACAGCTACATCACTGAAAGGCTCACACTAGCTTTCCAAAGTTTCAGTCATGGAGTTCTCTGTACCATGTGGTGCGGTGTTTTCCCTGGAGTCCTATGTGGGTAAATAACCCTGCAGGGGGAGGGTTAGTAGCCTCCCTCCAAGGTGAATTGTAGCTCAGGTTTGTGCACAGCGCTTGACCCTTCTTCCTTCTTCCACCTCTTCTTGAGATTCCCCGAGCCCCTGCAGTGGGAGATGAACGCCCATCTAAGGCTGATGATCAGGTCTTTGTCTGAAATCTATTTTGAAATGTAGCTCAACTTCCAGATTAAAAACAGTTAACAGATGTTACTTTATTAATAATTTTAGGCAATCATGTTGGCCGTTATGAAAAAATTGACGTATGATGAAGAATATAACTTTGAAAATGAGGTAAGAAATTTTGCATCAAAGGAAAGTCAGATTTAATTTTGTTTCTTTGCATCACATTAGTATTTTATATTTCCATCTAAGAGACTTTTAAAACAAAAAATGTTTTTTAAATCAACCTTGTTTATATTGATGTTATTTATATTGATATAAGTTTGGAGTAGCACTCACGGAGACCTGGATGCTTTGCTTTCTAAGAGGTTGGAGAAATGAGTCCTTTGGTAAATGCTTGTTGTGTAGACATTAAGATCAGAGTTTGACAACCATTGAAGACTGGATTGGAGGGCTCACGCTTGTGCTCGCTGGGAAGGTGAATAGGTGAATCCCTGGAGCACACTGGCTGGCCGGCCTAGCCTAGGCATCGGGTCCCGGGTTGTGATGACAGAATGTGTCTCATCCACACAAAAGGTGCACAGCTCCTAAGGACAATACCTGAGGCGAACTTCGGGAACACAGGTGCACACACATCTTGTAAGCTGGCGTGGTGGCAAATGCCTGACATCCCAGTGTTGTCACTTTAAAAAAAATTCTTTTATTTACACTTCTTTTCTCTCTATTCCACCCCAGTGCCTTCCATCACCCCAACAACGGGTAGGAGAGAGAAGGGGTTAGTGGGGGGGGGGGTCACAGTTCTTTCTTAGTTGCTTCCTACTGGTTATGGTCATCGGGTTCCTTGGAGCCAGTCCAGTCCTTATTTCAGGAGATCTATGACTTCTTGTCTCACAACAGCAACCAGGAGCAGCAAGGGGGAAGGCAGGATCAGCGTTGTTCTTTCTCCGATCTCCACTCTCTGGGCTCTGGAATTTATTCTCTCTCCAGAGTCCTTAGATTTAAACTATCTGCAGCTGGCAAAGAGCCCCTCTCAGAGCCTGCATGAGGCAAATAGTCTGCTGCTGTGACCATCTGAATATCCCACACCTGGGACCAAAATAAAAACATGCTTATATCCACAACATCCCAGCAGTTGGCAGCCTTAGGAAATAAAGAATATTACCATAAATGTGAAGCCAGCCTGGGCTGCAATTAAAAAGAGTACTGGATTGAGGCCCTGTCGGTAGGCCCTAAGTCATCAGCCAGCAGGTGAGGACAAGTATGAGGCTTAACTGTCTAGGCTTGTTCAGCTAAAAGTCTTGCCCCGAGTTCTGAGAACATCACCTTTCCGCTATTTATAGGGGCTGTCCGGTGCTTCCTGGAAACCCAGGGCATGTGTTGGTTAGGTGCATGCTAAAATGTTTTATTTGGAGTGAATGTCAAAAGGGTAGTAATAATAAGCAACACGTTAGCCCCAGTGATGACGCTGTTAATGCTTGGGGATAAAGGGAGAATGAAGACAGCAGGCAAGTTTGGGAGCTGGTGTGGGCCCATGCTGGCTGCTCACTGTCAGCCCTGCCCTCCTCAGGCTTTACGACTTGGGCCTTGGATGCTACTTACCATTTTTGTGTGTGCAGTTGTGAGTGTGGGCCAGAGTGTTGCTCTGGAGGGCACATCGCTCTCTCCACCCACCCTGGGGCTGCAGGGAAGGAATGCAGGCTGCCAGGCTCTGGCTGCAAGTGCTCTTCAGTGAGCGTCTTGATGCTGGCACCTTACACCTTAAGTCAGGGCTTTTCCCTTGTGTCACAGGGTGAAGATGAGGCCATGTTTGTAGAATACAGAAAGCAGCTGAAGTTACTGTTGGACAGACTTGCTCAGGTGTCGCCAGAGTTGGTGCTGGCTTCTGTGCGCAGAGTGTTCAGTGCCACACTCCAGTAAGTTTATTGTTAGAATAAGGTCTTCTGTCCGTTCCTCCTGGTGATAGGCCACACTGAGTCATGTAATGTTCATCATTCCTCATTGGGCCTATAATTTATCTTGTTTCCACCGTTGATATAAATTACATTGCTTGACAAAATTATCTAATAGGATGATTTTTTTAATCATTCAAGACATTTTTAAATGGTTTTTATTAGCATGCTCATTATATGTAATAATAGGTTTTCATTGTGGCATTTCCATACATGCACTTAATGTATTTCAACCATTTTCTCCCCTCACACTGTTACTTGTCCCCTTCCCATTGAGAAGCATGGTTAATGAGGGGTGGTTATAGGCGTGTGGGCACCTCACAGGTGGCAGTGCCATCGGAAGGATTTTTGGTGTTACTGCCCTGTGTGTAAGAGTGCTCCAGAAGTCTGTGTTCAGATCTCACTGACGTGCAATGCTGTGCTCGGTAGGAACTGGCAGAACACGCGCTTCATGGAAGTGGAGGTGGCGGTGCGGTTGCTGTACATGCTGGCAGAGGCTCTCCCGGTGTCCCATGGCGCTCACTTCTCAGGTGACGCGTCAAAAGCTAGTGCTCTGCAGGACATGATGCGAACGGTAGGTGGACGAGGTCTGTTCCTGTGAGCGTCACTGGCTTTGTGCTGTGCTGTAAGCTCCGTTTCCTGATGGTTAGAGCTTGCTGTGTTTTTGCAGAGGGATTTTTGGATGTTTCAGTAAACACGAATAGGCTTCTTCATTTTTCCCCTCTAGTTGGTAACCTCTGGAGTCAGCTCCTACCAGCACACATCTGTGACCCTGGAGTTCTTCGAAACTGTTGTCCGATATGAGAAGTTCTTCACAGTTGAACCTCAGCACATTCCGTGTGTACTGGTGAGTATGCACTGCACTCCGGCTCTGTGATGAGACCCTGCCTGTCCTTGTTCCCTAACTTTTCTCAGACTCAGAAGTTGAGGCCTGGGTGGTAGTTTTATATAAAACGAGTCCTTAAGGGTGCGTGCGTGTGTGAGAGAGATAACATTACTTATGTATTCCTGGTAAAAAGTACAATTTGATGTGACAATGAAATCCTCGAATCAGAACAGAAGTAATCAGTGTCTCTCTCTTCAGATGGCTTTCTTAGATCACAGGGGCCTGTGGCATTCCAGCGCGAAGGTCCGGAGCAGAACCGCCTACCTGTTCTCTAGATTTGTCAAGTCCCTCAAGTGAGTATTGGCTCTTAGCACTGTGTGTGTTCCTCCTGTGCTGACAGGCTGCTCTTGGTGGTCTCCTCCATGACTTCTTTCCGCAGCCAGTGACTGTACTCAGCACTAACAGGTGGCTGTTTGCATACTTTTATGCAATTTTATGTTACTGTATTTTATTTTATTTATTCTGTAAATTTTATGTATTACTCTTACGTGTGTTTGATGTGCGTGGGGTCTGTGTGCCATGGCAAATGTGTGAAGAAGAGACACTGGGAACAGAGTGTCACACTCAGTCCATTGAGTTTGCACAGTAAATGCTTTTGCTTGCTGAGTCATTTCCTTAGGCCAGGGAGCATATTTTTTGTTGGTTTGCTTGGTCCTGGAGATGACAGACTTGTGATTCTGTTGCCTCTGTCTCCCTCCCAAGTACTGGGATTGTAGGCTTGCACCAGGATACCCTCAGCCTGAAAGTAATTTCTAACATGGTCTCTTGTATGTAGTATTCTTTTTTGTTTTTTAATAATTTATTTCATGTGCATTGGTGTTTTGCCTGAATGTTTGTCTGTGTGAGGGTGTCAGGTCCCATGGAACTGGAGTTGCAGACAGTTGTGAGCTGCCGTGTGGGTACTGGGAATTGAACCTGGGGCCCCTGGAAGAGCAGACAGTGCTCTTAAGCATTGAGCCATCTCTCTAGCCCCAATATGTAGTATCTTTTATGAGACTCAGAGCAGTGGACAGTGCATTGGATCACACAGACTCTAAATTGTTCATAAGCTGACGTTAGTATGAGAGGGGCTTTGGCCTCCTTCTCTTTAAATGGGGATTTGATATTTGAGCAGCTTATGGGCATATTACTTAACCTGTGATTTCCCTTTTCATTTTATTCAGTAAGCAAATGAATCCTTACATAGAAGATATTTTGAACAGAATACAAGATTTATTAGCCCTTTCTCCACCTGTAAGTATCTCCCAGATATCTTCTCCAGAAATCATTGAGACTGAATGCTATCAGCTTTATCTTTGAGGGCTTGGCTTGTTTCTAACTAGTGTGTGTGTGTGTGGGGGGGGGTTGTGTATGCAAAGTTTATTCGAATCTGTTTACCAAAATTGTTTTGATACAAGCATGATAGTAATGGAAGGAATTTGGCTCTGTGTACTATGTTCTGATTTTTCTGTACTGTTAAATGTAGCAGCTGAAATACTTGATGAAGTGGAAAAAACTTCATCTTCTAAATTACTCTCTTAGGTGATCATATTTGTCATTCTCAGTGCCACTTACATTGAAGTTTTGTCTTCAGATTTAGTGTTACTTCTTTCAGTGTCATTTCTCTAAAGGATTTGAGATCATTTATAAGTACATTTTGATTTACATGTGGTTTTGATTTATTCTTAATTGTATGTGTGGGTGTTCTGCTGCCTGCATGTGTAGCTGCACCACATTGTGCGGTACCTTCGGAGGCCAGGAGAGGGCACCGAGTCCTCTGGTACGGCAGCTACAGATGGTGATGTAAGGCTTGCCATGTGAGTGCTGGGACTTGAACCCTCATCCTCTTCAAGAGCAGCCAATACTCTTAACTGCTGAGTCACCTCTCTAGCCCCAACAAAACACGTGTTTTGTTGAAAGCCAAACTACTGGCGGCCAGTTAATGCCAGCTTTTCTCAGCAGTTGTGTTAACTCCTGCAATGTAAGCATTCAGAGAGAGTCCTAGTAACAGTCACCTTAGGGTCATTTGCAGAGTTTTGTCGGGACTAAGATTTAGTTAACTTACATACTTGTTTGCTCATCTATAGTGCTGGTGGGTTACCCCAGAACGTCACTCATGAGGACATATGGTACAAGGAGCAATACCCTTAGCCCAGCACAGGATCAAAACTATGAGTCTTTAATCTCTGTTTCCGTTTTAAGTTTTCTCTTCATTCTGTGATTGTGGCATAAATTTCATTTTTATGAGTAATTAGTATATGAGCCGATGTGGTAGGTTATATTTCCTGTCTCCTGCTTCTTCTTGACTAAGTTAAATGAGAGACACTAAAGTGAAAATACCCAGTTAAGACAAAGTGTCCTTGTAGGAGAATGGTTACCAGTCGTTGCTGAGCAGCGATGATCAGCTCTTCATTTACGAAACGGCTGGGGCGCTGATTGTTAACAGTGAGTACCCTGCCGAAAGTAAGCAGGCCTTGATGAAGGACCTCTTGACACCGCTGATGGAGAGGTTTAAGGTTCTGTTGGAAAAACTGATGATGGCGCAGGATGAAGAGAGACAAGCGTCCCTTGCAGATAGTCTCAACCATGCGGTTGGCTTCGCCAGGTGAGCCAAATTGCAATTAAAATTGTAAAGTGGTGTGTCCATGTAGGCAGAACCTCTTAAATGGGTCTTTTTAACAGGGACACACTGAACTGTTTTCAAGCAGTCATTTAGTTTGCCTACATTTTTAAAAAAGATTTATTTCTTTATTATGTATACAGTGTTCTGCCTGCACATACACCTGCATGCCAGAAGAGGGCACCAGATCTCAATATAGATGGTTGTGAGCCACCCACTCATGTGGGTGCTGGGAATTGCACTCAGGACCTCTGGAAGAGCAGCCGGTGCTCCTAATCTCTGAGCCCTCTCTCCAGCCCCTTACCTACACTTTTTGTTAACAGTGTGAAATGGAAACTGTTGCTAATGCTATACTGGGAAGTTGTTGTCCGCCATTTCCTGCAGCACAAGCCAGGCTTTGGGTGGTGGGAGTAACTTGATAGTGGATGTGATGAGGTTGTTTTCAGAATCTCGTGATCGTGTACAGATGGCCTAATGGCCATACTAAACACAGAGTAAATATATTCTTCTCCTGCCGACTGTCAGGATTTTAGAAAAGCAGGTGGATTGACTCAATTTATGGTTGACCACTTCTTATTTGCTTAATTTACTTAACGTTTTATTCTGTAATCCTATCTGGAAGTAGTCATTTTCATGTAACTATTAACTAAGGGTAGAAGTAATTCTTATGTAAAAAATAGTTGGTTGTCAATTTGTCATCTCTTATGCATTGTTTTTTAACACTCTGAACTTCTGGCTGCCTGGGTTTTGGTCATGTAGTCGAACCAGCAAGGCTTTCAGCAACAAGCAGACCGTGAAACAGTGTGGCTGCTCCGAAGTTTACCTGGACTGTTTACAGACATTCTTGCCAGCTCTCAGCTGCCCTGTACAAAAGGACGTTCTCAGAAGTGGGGTTCGCACCTTCCTTCATCGAATGATCATTTGCCTAGAGGAAGAGGTTCTTCCGTTCATCCCATCTGCCTCAGAACACATGCTCAAAGACTGTGAAGCCAAAGACCTCCAGGAATTCATTCCACTCATCAACCAGATTACGGCCAAGTTCAAGGTACCACAGACCAGAATGCTAAGACTCTTGAGCCTTAACCATCCTCTGCAAACATAGCACTAGGTGCATGCATCCCAGATACCTTTTATTGCGTGTTGTGGAGGTGGGTTACTCACATGTGGAGGCCAGAGGGCGGCTACCAGCACGCACAGGTTAGTTTTGATAGGTGATGTGTCCCTGAAGGTGACGCTCACTGATGGGCTAGACTGGCCAGCTAGTGCTTCTCCATCCTCCCAGTGCCTTGCTTCCGGTGCACACTGCCTTGCCCACCTGTCATTACAGGGTATGGGGACTCAAGTCAAGGTGCTCACACTTGTACAGAAAGCTCTGTACAGATGGAGCCACCCCTCCGCCTGTCCTATGTCTGCTAAATGACAAATTACTTGGTTACATAGCAGTGTTTAACATTGTCCATAGCTTTCTGTGTCGTAGATTTCTAGATTGGAAAATACTTTTCTTATGTGTAATAGTGTGTTGCCTGAATGTATGTATATATACATCCTGGTACCTGAGGAGGTCAGGAGCAGCGGGTGTTGGATCAGCAGGAACTAGAGTTACAGAACACGGAATTGTGAGCCTTCGTGTAGGTGCTGGGAGCAGAACCTTGGTCCTTTGCAAGGGCAGCAGGTGTTCTTAATCACTAAGCCACGTCTCCAGCCCCCTGAGTAGATGTTCTAATAAAACTGTCAATCAGTGTGGCAGGTGAAAACTCCCAAGAGCAGCAAGTACATCAGTACAGAGTCCTGCCTGGAAACTGGTGGCATGCAGGCTTGGAATTGGAACAAGAGTCTAAAAGTAACCAATGCCCCAAGGGCCACGTTAGAGGCGTAAACTCACAAACAGTAGGAACTGGCTAGGGAGAATGGCCAGTGCATCCATAATCAAATCTACCCTGAAGGTTTTCAGATGTTGCTCTGTACTACTCACAGTAACCTTAATTGTAAGGATTATGCCTTATACATGAGAAAACTGGGACTTGGGTAGTTCAGGAACTTAACTAATGGAAGTTACATGTGTTATTTAATTTTACAGAATTCATTTCTTAGGATTTATTTTTCACTTTGGAATTTAAACTTGAAAATATTCCATGGTCAACTTTGATTATGATCACTTGTTATTTCATCTCAAAATCTTTTTTCCTCTTTCATTCTTTAACTTTTTTAAGAGAGTGTGTGTGCATGGGTGCATATGCATGCCAAAGCAGCCTTGTGGAGTCCGTGCACTCCTTCCGTCCTTCCGTGAGTTCTGGGGTGACTCAGGTCACCAGGCTTGTACAGCAAGAGCCTTTGCCTCCTGAACCATCTCTCTGGCCCACAACCAGCTTTAAGATGAACTTGTTGACATTTATGTGTATGGTGTTTTGCACAAATGCATTCCTATGCACCATGTGCGTGTACTGCCTGGACCCCAGAAGAGGGCGTCATATCTCCTGGACCTGAAATTACAGCTAACTGGGAGCTGCCATGTGGGTGCTGGGAACTGAACCCAGGTCCTCTAGAAGAGCAGCCAGTGCCCTTAACCCCTGAGCCATCTCTCCAGCCCATACATGTTGAACCTAATCTTGAGTCTTTGGGTTGTGTATATGTTTTTTAGTAAGTATATAAATATCCTCCATGAGAAGCAGAGCTTCACGTCACTTCTGAGGTGCCATGACAGTTGTTCTCCTTTCCAGGTCCAAGTGTCCCCGTTTTTACAGCAGATGTTCATGCCCCTGCTTCACGCCATTTTTGAAGTGCTGCTGCGGCCAGCAGAGGACAACGACCAGTCGGCTGCGCTAGAGAAGCAGATGCTGCGGAGGAGCTACTTCGCCTTCCTACAGACAGTCACCGGCAGCGGAATGAGCGAAGTGATCGCAAATCAAGGTAGGGGCGTACACAGTGCCGGCCAGGTGTGTCTGCTCAGTTTCCTGTCACAATTGTACGCCAAGGGATCAACGGTGAGTGGAAGCAGTGCCAGTGGAGCGCCTCAAACTTAACTGTATTCAGCTTCTCTCTTCCTGTATTCTCTGATTGCTACAAAGTAGAAGAGTGAACACGGGCCAGAACTCACCTGACAGTTGAGTCTTGCTGGCTAGTTTGCCATCTTGAAATTAAAAGTTGGCACTGGCCAACCAGTGAGGGTTTGTAATCCCAGTTAACCAGTGGGGCTGACGCAGGAGAGTCAGATGCATTCGGAGCCAGCCTGGGTAGTTCTTCAGACCTTTTCTTAAAAAGGGAAGAGGAGTAACCTGGGCATGGTGAGTGTGGTTTTTTTCTATTGCTGTGATGAGACACCATGACCAAGACAACTTAGAGAACAGTGTCAGAGGCTGGTTCCATGACCACCATGGCAGGGCACACGGCAGCAGGCAGGCGTGGCTCTGGAGCAGTAGTTGAGAGGCACAGGGTAGAGCGAGGGCTGACTGGGAATAAGATGGGCTTTTTAAATCTCCTCCAACGAGGCCACGCCTCCTAATCCTTCCCAAACTGTTCCTCCAGCAAGAGGACCAAGCATTCAAATATATGAACCTATGTGGGGGCATTCTCATTCAAACCATCACATGGGCATGCCTTTAGATCCAGGATTCAGGAGGCAAGGGCAGGCAGACATCGGTGAGTTTGAGGCCAGCCTGATCTACGCGGCAAGGTCCAAAAACATAGAATTCAGGGGAGCAAGCTGTTAAAGGAATCTTCATTCTTCATTGCTTAGAATTTAGGTGCCCAGTTAGTAAAAGAAGTAAAGGGAATTTATCACACTATATATGTGTTTTGGCTTACTACATATTTTGAAATAAGTGCATCAGGTTGGGTTTTTCCTATTGAAATTAAAGTCTAGTTTTTCTCTTCAGGTGCAGAGAACGTAGAACGGGTGCTGATCACTGTTATCCAGGGAGCCGTTGACTATCCAGATCCAATTGCACAGAAAACATGTTTTATCATCCTCTCAAAGCTGGTAGAACTCTGGGGTGAGATGAAGTTTTTGCTTTTACTTTGTTTTGAGGTTTTCTCCTGAGACCACCCCCACTCTCCTCAGTGCTAGGACTGGAACCCAAGGTCTTATATATTCTTGATTTCCTCTGTTTTTTGAGACAGTTTATCTGTGTAGAGGTCTTCCATATTCTAATCAAGTGGTCCAGCAATGGGCAACTGCTCCAGCCTGATAGGGGCTTTAACCCTCCATTCTCTACTGTTCCGTGGGACCATCAGAAATGAAGGAGAGCTCTGCTCCAAAGAGAGCAGGAACTGGGGACTGACTGACTTTCTTTTTAAGCAAGATGAAAATTTGCATTCTCTTGATAGGAGGTAAAGATGGACCAGTGGGATTTGCTGATTTTGTTTATAAGCACATTGTCCCTGCCTGCTTCCTAGCACCTTTAAAGCAGACCTTTGACCTGGCAGACGCACAGACAGTATTGGTAAGCATCTTAAGGTCCTTGTTTACTGCGTGTAGACCTCATAGAGGCTTCTCTAATGATGGGGTGGTATTGTTCATGGATTGTTTTCATACATGATTAATGACTTTCTGCAGTTATTTTTCCTGTTCTGGGTGCAGCACTGAAGATGTTACCCTGGACAGATGCCTTCCCATGAAATCACATCGCTTCCCCCACTTCTCTCCCATTTTTCTCTTTGTCTTTCTCACTCTCCTTCTCCTCCTATCCCTGTCTTTTCTTTAATGTCCTTCTTTCTCTCCCTGCTTACTTTTGGGTTTTGGCACAGGATTTTGCTGAGTAGCCCTCGCTGGCCAGGTCCTCATGGTGTACACCAGGCTACACTCAGCTATTCTCAAAACTTGTAGGCAATCCCTTGCCTCTGCCTCCTGGGTGTTGGTACCATGTTTATGTAGCGTCATGCCCTTCTGCTACTCTATTTAACATCTTCCCCTGCTTTTAACAGCATTAAGTCATTTTTCTTTTCGTGTGATGGGTCCCAGATCACATTTTCAGAGTGTTGGGGTTGTTTTTTTTCACTAAAAGTCATACTACCACATTAGGACTGTAGTTTGTATTGCTTTTCCTTTTTTCTTTTATGTCTGTGGATGCTTTGCTTCAGTGTATGCATTCCTAATGCCCTCTGAGGCCAGAAGAGGGCGTCAGATTTCTTTAGGCCTGAAGTCACCATGTGGGTGCTGGGAACTAAGCCCACGTCTTCTGGAAGAGCAGCCACTGAGCCATCTCTCCAGCCCCAGTAATTTGTCTTTTGCTTTTCCTTTTTTTTTTTCTGTCTGGGCTACTTACCTTAAAACCACTCTTTCCTCTTAGCTGTGAATATTTTCCTTGGAGGAAAATATTGGAGGCAGGAGGGATAAGAGGTTAGTTTTGTAACATACTGCCCCTATTAAAAATTTAAACTTGTTTTTTACAGGCACTTTCTGAGTGTGCGGTGACTCTGAAAACAATTCATCTCAAACGGGTAAGGCTTATGGTCCTTGCTACTTCACTTCTCTTACCCTGTATTTGCTTTCAGTTGGGTCTGACCCATGTTCTTGAAAACTCTTTTATCAAAGGTGATATCAGTACTGATTTGGGGGGTAAATGAAAGTAGCAGTGACTGTTACTGTCCGTCATGTTCAACTTCTGTACAGTCAGATTTCTCTGCCATGTTTGCTACTTCTGTGTGTATATGCACATGCGGGTGTATGCGTGTGTGTGTGTGCAGTCGAGAGGCAGCCTGTGGGAGAGGTGCACGTGTATTTGTACAGGTCAGAGGTTAACCTCAGATGTTGCTGTCTTCACTGTTTTCCGAGGCAGGGCCTGTCCCTGGGTCCTGGGGTTCACTGTTAGTGTGGGCTGGCAGGCCACCTGGGGAACCACTGTGCTTGTGAGGTAGACGCTGGTGGAGCCCGGGCCCTGGGGTTTGCACTGCAGGCACTTGGCCAAGTGAGTGATTGCTTTAGCCTTTTATTAGTTGACTTATTTTTACTTGCTAACTTATTTATTGGCTTTTTGAGACAGGATTGCACAGAGTTCCAGCCTGTTATGAACTCATAGCAATCCTCCTGCCTTAGCTCTCACATGCTGTGATTACAGTAAATGATTAGAGACTTGGATTAATTCTAAACACAGAGCTCTTTCTAGTCAGTCTTATTTAAATATGACTTTAGGTATTTTCAGATAACTTGAGTTAGTTGCCAACATTTAAGAATGAGTGCTTTTTTTCTTTTAACAAAAACTCCTATTCCCACCTTATCTGACACAGCGCCGACCAGCATTTCCTCAGACTGCATGCAGCTCAGTGCAGAGCAGCCTGTTCCCTGAATCTCTGTTGCAGGGCAGGGCCTTCTCTAAGTTTCAATTTCTTCTGGTGGAGAGTTGAAGGTTTCATTTCAACAGCATTTCCTTTATACCTGTGCTGCTAGTTAGGGCGAGGGCCACTGTGTTGTAGAAAAAATGCAAAAGGGTAATCCCTGGTTTCTGTTGTTCAGGATCAAGGAAAAACAATGCATGAATAATTCTTCAGTGGTTTAAGTGGTTTCAATGGATATGTAAAATAGTATAGGACTAAAGATGCCCAAAGGAACAGTAAGCAGCCCAAAGGAAAGGTGGATTTGTCTTAAAATGAATGGCACTGGTCAGACGAGCTTTCTGGACAAAGAAGGGAGGGGGGTGTTTGTGAACAGCAGTTGTGTTGACGTAGTGGAGCTGGTGGAAGATCATTTCGCTTAGACATTCAGGCAGAAGCAATAGCTAAAAAGTGCAGTGGGGTAGATGATTGGCAGCTGTGTGTTGCTGAACGTGAATGAATATTTGGAAAGTAATGCGGATAGTTGGGTTGGGAAGGATGTTTAGAGAGGTGTTAGGAATAGGAGTGTTACGTACTTAAAATTAAATGCTGACATTGGAGTCCTCATTGTAAGTCCATCACAACTTGTAAGATCAGGACAAAAGAACTCTGCCTAAAGCACCAGGAAAGAAATACCCAAAGGTGGGCAGGGGATGGCTTCAGCAGAGAAGAGAGTACATGCTGCTCTTGCAGAGGACCTGGATCCTTCACATTCACACGGCAAGGCCCTCAGGTAGCCTGTACCTCTCTAGCCTCCGTGGGCGCACACAGTCATGCACAGTTACATACGTACACAGAGACGGCAAAAACAGGACCAACTGTGTGAAAGCTAAGGGCAGGAAGTCATAACAGAGGAGACTGCTGACACAGTGGGTGCAGGAGACTTTAGAATGAGGGAGGAAACACATAGGAAAGGTGTTCTAAATTAGTACAAATTCTTAAAACAGACTTTTGATTGTTGCTGTTTTCTGATTTTGAATATTTGAGTACAAGTTTACTTTCCAAATTAAAACAAAAACACCCTCCTTTTTAAAAAGGAGTTTAAAGGTATTTATTTCTTGCGCACTCCCGTGTGTGTGTGTGTGTGTGTGTGTGTGTGTGTAATGTAGATATGTGCATGCTACAACACAGGTATGGAGATCGGAAGCCAGCTTTGAGGTATCTCCCTCACTGTGGGATCCTGGGATTGCACACCCGTCATCAGGCTTGCGATAAGCACTTTGCCTTTGAGCCATCATAGCCCTGGCCTCAAATTGTAGGTTTTAGGGTTCTTTTTGTGTGTTTCTCTCTTTTAAGTGATAACACAGTTGTATGACAGTGGTGATCAGTGCGTTGGAAATAAGCAGAATGGGTCAGACTAATGGAAAGGTGAGAAGAAAAACTCTTCAGAACCAGTGTAGTTCCTTTCCCCACAGTTAACAGATTTCCTCTAAGGGGGCAGTAAGTTGAGACCTAGGCCATTTAAGTAGAGGGCCAGGAGCAAAGGGAGAAAAGAAAGGTAAAGGAATGCTGTGGTTGAGGAGTGCTAATGATGGTAAACAGAAAGTCCAGATGCTAAAGTAGGGAAAAGTATGCTGAAGAGAGAGATCGATTTTGGTTTGTTTTGAGACAGCCTTAACTGTCACCAGGCTGATTTCACATTCACAGCCCATGCCTCAGCCTCCCAGATGCTAGGTGTGGTCCATTGATGTTGTCTGGTAATTTACTTTAAGATTGAACCATCAACCCACTAAAGCCCTTATTAAATGCAGGGCAGGGAAGATGGCTCCGCCCATCAGCTGCTTCCTACATTAGGACCTGTGGTTAGGTGCACAGCACCCAGGACACTCACAGATGAGCTCTGCACATCTGAGATCTCAGTGCTGGGAGGAGGGGCGGGTGCAGGCAGGTGGGTCATCCCTGGAGTTTACTGCCTGGCCAGCCAAGCCAAATTAGCCAACTCCAGATTTAAGGAGAGGGCCTGTCTGAGAAAAGGGAAGTGGAGAGCAGTGTGTGAAGGTGCTGCCACCAACCTCTGGCCTCCACAGCCCATTCACACAGAAGTTATCAAGTTCAAACATGAAATTAACTGGGTTTTTTGTTTGTTTTGTTTTTTAATAGCTGTTCTCTCAGAAATAACATTGCTTAAAAAGGAAGTGTCTCCTGGGTTCCTTTGTACTCATTGGGAATGGGTAGGGCTCAGGAATTATTTGTGGCATCCTTCCTGCCCCACTTTGTTTAGCACCCCTCTCCCAGAAATAGGAATAAATCACAGCTGACTTCCTAGGTTTTATATACGGGGCTGCTAGGAAATGTCCCTTGCAAGCAGTGTATTTAGCCTCCATCAACCTAGGCCTTTTCTTCCTGGTCTTTGCTCCATTCCTGTCACCACTGACTGTAGCCTCTTGTATTGGGAAAGCTGAGTATACTTTCACTGCTTTTATACTGTTTACTTGTTTCTGGCCTGTGTTTTACTTTCTGAAGATAGTCGTCAGCCTGGCAGCACTCACAGGCTTCCCTCAGTGCCCCACAGTCTGTATTCTTTTCTGTGGCAGACTGACAGTCTCACCCTTCTTTGCTGCTGTTGTTCCAGTGTTCGGGAGGTTGTGGCTTTAGAAGCCATCTTTAGCAGTACTTAGCCCTAAAGAATGTTAACATGTGCTAAATGCTATGTTACACTAACAAATTTCTATTTGTTGTATATTATGTTGTTTGTATGTAATAAACAGATACTTATATATGGTTGATCAGATACTTCCAATTACCTAATTTTTCAGACGGAGAACTGGGGACTTAGAGCAGTTAGTTGATCAAGTTTCATAGAGCCAGGCTTCAAATCAGGGCAGTACAGCTCTAGAGTCTGTGCTCTTAATCATAAAGAAGATGGCTCAGTTATCTTTCATCTGCAGGGCCCTGAGTGTGTTCAGTATCTTCAACAAGAATACCTGCCCTCCTTACAAGTTGCTCCAGAAATAATTCAGGTAAGAGCTCTCAAAACAAATTTTGCTCATAATTTTATTAAACTATTTTGAGTGTATACTTCATATCTAAATTTAATTCAAGAAAGCCACATAGTATTCAGCTTGTTTTGTTGTCAATAGCCTGGATGGAGTCTAGACTTACAAATAATTCATGAAATTGAATGGAACAATTTTGTTTTTATTCTTAACTAACCTCCAATACAAATTTGATTTTCTACCATTCAGTAAGTGATAGGTCATAATAATAGTGCCATTGTCTGTAACTGTACATATTTTCCTTTGTGTATGTGTGCACATATGGAGGCTGGAGGGCAACTTCCAGTGTGATCCTTAGGAACACTGTCTGCCTCTGAAACAGTCTTTCCTTGGCCCCTGCCTCACTCGTTCAGCTTTACTGTTCCTACCTCCCCAGTCCTGGGATTACAGAGACATGCCACCACACTAGAAACATTTATGGGTTCTGAGGTTCAGTCTCTGGTGATTTACCAACCGAGAGGAATCCCCCACCCCACCTGATTGCATGAATATTTTTATGTCAGAAGTTGGAGAGACATAGAAATATTACTTGTATGTGTCACTGTTTTGAAATTATGAGTAATTGGGTCATGTTAGTTATGTTGTTACCTAGGAAGATACTAAGTTTTGCTGCCAAACTATCAGAATTCATGGGGCTCAGTTGTTAAGAGCAGTGGCTGCTCTTACTCAGGACACAGGTTCAGTTCTCAGCATCTACATGTGATTTCACAACTACTTATAACTCTAGTTCCAGGGGATCCAGAGGTAGACCAAGTGCCCTCTTCTTGCCTCTAAGGGCTTATGGTGCACATAAACTCATGTAAGCACAGAGACATAAAAACAAAGAAGGTCTTTCAAAAATCAAAGTTTACTATGGTTGTCTTTTCCAATCCTATAGTATTTTACACATTTGAAAAGAAAACATTCAGGTGGACATGGTAGCCCATGCATGTAATTCCACTATTTAGGAGACTGGGGCAGGGGGCTGTTATGATTGTGAATCTACCTTACACAGTGATTATACAGTAAGTCCTGGCTCAGCTGCGGCTGCAGAGTGAAAGTCTGTCTGAAAAGCAAGCAAAAGGAAAAAGACTATAGACTGCCAACAGTGATCACAGTACGTGAGGACTCTGGTCTGTCAGACATGCAGTTGAGTGGTAGCTTGCCTGCTTGCCTGCCATGTGCCAGACCTTGGGATCAAATCCTGAGGACAGAAAGGAAAAAGGAAAGAGAGAAACTAAATAATTAACAACACAGGAGAGAGTTGCTTGGGCTTGTGTCGAGTTTTTAATGTTTAAGTCTGAAGTTCTGTTGTGAGACAGGTGGCTACAAAGTTACTGTGTACTTTGACACAGTGTAATTGCACATACTTTGTTATGCAGCTGCCCACACTTTTTGTATACATCCACCTAGTGAAGTATCATGTCAGCTCAAGTTAGAACCTCTTGTATAAGGGGCTAGCAGGATGACTGATTGGCCACCAAGCCTGAAAAAAATCCACTTAACTAGATTCCAGGCTTTGCTTTGTTCTTCAACAGTGTTTTGGAGGTTTGTTCGGTTTTACTGTTTGATTGGTTTGGAATTTTTTTTCAAGTTTTATTGCGATAAGAAGGCATCACACAGAGTGTAGCTTAGCTTTTTTTTAAGTTTATCTGTATTTGTTGTATACAACAGGGTTTCCTTCTTTGTATGTGTGGTGTGTATGTATGCTTGTGGACACTAGAGGTCCACATTGGGTATCATTTCTCAGGAACCTCCACCTTGTTTTTTTGAGACAGGGTCTCTCACTGAGACCTGCAGCTTCCCATTTCACCTAGGCATAGGTGTTCGTTTCTAAATGACGAAAAATCCTGTGAGTCTCCTGCATGCGTAGTTAACACTGCTGTACTAAGGAGGTAAAGCGGTTGCCATGCCATGTTGTGCTTATTAACTATAATTTAAAACAAAAAAAAGATATTATGGACTTGAATTAAATGGATTTTCCCATTTCTCTTCCCTTCCTTGTCACCCCAGGAATTCTGTCAAGCACTTCAGCAGCCTGATGCTAAAGTTTTTAAAAATTACCTAAAGGTGGGTATTTGGAAAATTTTTGCATCTTTTGTGACCTTGGAGGGCACAGGGTCTGACTCACTCTGGGATCTGTGCTTTAAAAAGACATCGTAATTGGCAGCCATTTTTGCAAATCCCTTTGTACTAAGCTCTTGGAAAGACCTTTAAAATTAGATATTTGCTCTAATTGTCTAAACAGCCTGAATATATTGGTATAAAAACCAGCATCGGTTTTCCTTGTTGTTTTATGGTTTTATGAAGTGATTAAATGGGTATTAGAGGATGGAAAGTTAGAGAACAGTTCATGTTAAGTTGAAAGGATCTAAAAATACAAAAGCAGAAGTATAAATTCCTTACATTTTGTTGTGAAACATTTGAAAGACAAAGGGATTCAGCCAACAAGGTTTTACATATATATATGTATATATATATATGTATGAAGCATTAAATTTTATAAATAAAACAGATCACCTAAGTTGGTGCATGCCAGTAATCCCCATACTTGGAAAATGAAGGCAGGAAGATCACAAAGTAATGATCAGCCTCTGCTTCATAGTGAGACGCTGTGTAGAAATAGAAGCTGTTGGCACTTAACTGCATAGTGAGACCCTGCCTAGAGACAGAGAGAAGCCATTAGCGATTACTGCATAGTGAGACCCTGCCTAGAAAGGCTGTTGGAGATTGCTACATAGTGAGACCCTGCCTGTTGGAGATTACTGTTCCATACTGAGGACTGCTTATGTGACAGTAGATGGGCTGCAAGTACCAGTAAGTGTGACTTTTCTCTGCTCAAGGAGCACTGTCACAATGTGCCAGAACCCAGAACTGTTTCTCATTTGTCTTTAATACTTTCAGTAAACAAACTGCAAAGCAAAGCCCCATACACTAAATTGATAGCAAGTTACAAGTAAGTAGCTCCCTGGCTCAAATTAGTAGAATTCTTTTTGGTTTTATCAAGGCAGTGAGGGTAGCTCTGACTGTCCTGGAACTCACAGCCTTGTAGACCAGGCCGGCCTCAAACTCACAGAGATCCATCTGCCTCTGACTACAAAGTGCTGAACCAAGAGCTCCATAGGTGAGCCAGGTGCAGTGGCCCATGCCTGTAATCCTAGCACGTGGATCTCTGTGAGTTCAAGGCCAGCTTGGGAGTCCAGGACAGCCAAGGCTACACAAAGAAGCCCTGTCTCAAAAAAAAAAGACAAAGCAAAACAAACAGTAAAATCTTTTGCTGTTCTTCAGACTTTTCAAGCCTGCTTACCATCAGCCCTCCTTCACCAGGAATTCTGACTGCTCTTCTCAGTTTGCCTTTGTTGTGCTCTGTTCTGATTTCATTCTGCTGATGTGACAAATACCATGGCCAACGGGCAACTTAGGGGAGGAAGAGTTCATCCCAGCTTACAGGGCACAGTCCAGCAGGAGGGCAGTCAGAACAGGAACTTGAAGCAGAGACCAGGGAGGAGCACTGCTTGCTGGCTCATCACAGGCTAATGAGTTGCCGGGTTTCTTACACAATCCAGGGCCTGCTGTTGCCCACAGTTGGCTGGTCCTTCCTCTCAATTAACAGTCAAGAGAGTGTCCCATAGACCACTCCTATCTGGGCAGTTCCTCAATCAAGACTCCTTCTCTGGTGACTCTAGGCTATGTTAACCTGACAGCCTCCTTTTTTGCTTTCTTTTGCTCATACAGTAGCCATTCTTAGCACTTTCTGATTTGGGTTTCTTTTGAGACAGGATCTCTCCTTTGTAGCCCAGAGTAGCTTGGAATTGAGCTTTGGCCTCCCAACTTTGTGGGTCTCAGGTGTGAGTCACCACGTCCAGCTTTCCTCTCACTTAGGCCGTCAGGTGAAGAGCAGCGCTAGGCCTTGGGAATATAGTGATAAATGTGGTCCTTCTTGATGAGCTCGTTGCCTACCATGTACTGTTTCTAGTGCTCATTTCATTTGCATCACTGTGGGTGACTGCAGTGCTGGGCCATTGCTTAGCATGGCTTCTAGCCCAATACTGAATCTTTTAATCAGCAAATAAATAGTAAACCTTTTAAGACTGAAAATTTCTATCTTTTATCTTTGACTTTTTTCTTCCTTAAATTTAATTTTCCATGGTTAACTTTACCAGTAAATAAAAAGCCTATAAGAGCTATTTCCTCTGACTGCTGTTGCTCATAGCAGTATTGTTACCAAGGGGTGAGCAGCATTTATAAACCTTGAAGAAAGCCATCGTGTTTCAATCCTTGTTTTCCAGGTATTCTTCCAGAGAGCAAAGCCCTAAGAATTGGATTTCCCTCTCCTGTGTCATGATCAGGAATCCAGTTAATAATTTATAAAGAAGTGGTTTTGTGTGCCATTCACACTCGCCTTTTAACATTGTTCTGAGCTTACTGCGGTATATGTGGGGTTTTCTGTAAAATGGATGTAATTTTTCCCTAATACAGGTATGTGACAACAAGTAAAGTTGCCTGCATGCCAGTTTAAATTGTTTATGTAAAAATGCTGTTATAAGACATAGATTTATCCTAGTACCTTAATTTTTTCTTTATATAAAACTTTAAAGTTCTTTATAAAAACTAAAGTGTGGAAAACTGACTCTAACAAATTGAATGTAAAGTTGGAAATGTTCAGTTTTATGTGTGCAGACACATAAGCTTTGGGGGGTTAACAATCAAAACGTAATTTTTTTGTAGATAGCCATTACATTTCTTTAAACTGTTTCAATGCCAATATGTATTCTATAAGAGAATGGGTTCCTAAATAAGTCGGTTTAAAAGTAGGTGCTGGTGTTATACATTTTTTATAAAATAAATTTTACATAGTGAAATATACCAAGTCTTTTCCAGAATTATTACAAATAGCCTCCTTTTTCCACCTCAGTCACTCTGTGATTTGCGACCTAAAGGTTTGCACATATGAATGTGGATGCCTTACTTCACTGACTGTGCCCCTAAAGGCCACTCGCAACCTAGGTCTGTTAAGCTGGTCTCTTTAAATGCACTCGAGATCAGCTCCGTGAATCTATAAAAGAATTACAAATTCCAGTGTTTTTCTATGCTTTTAGATGTACTTAGCACAGTATACCTGGATTTTTTATTGTCTTGAGACTGGGTCTTGATATATAGAACAGGCTGGCCTCAAATTCACAGCCTGTCTCTGCCTCCCAGCTGCTGCGATTAAAGGTGTGAACCACCAGGTGTGACCACCTGTATGTTTGTGATTTTGTAGTCAGTTACTACTTACTGCTGTGTGCTCCAGGAGAAAGCTAGAAAAGCAGTGCTATCAGTGTTGGGAAGAGGGACAAAACTGCTGTGGCATAGCTATAGATGCTTCAGTTTTCCGAGCCCAGTTAAGGCCTAGACCTAACTCCATTAGCCGAGTGCTTACCAAGCAAGCCCAGGTTCCAGCCTAGTACTGCACAAAGGAACAGAAAGGGAGGAGGGTTAGGGTGCCCTCAGCTACATAGTGAATCTGGGGTCAGCCTGGGCTACATGAGCACCTGCTTAAGATGGAATAAGTAAATCTGAGAGGGTGTGTTACTCAGTGGTGGAAAGCTTGCCTGAGGACCTGAGTTTCCTCCCCAACACCACAGAACAGGGAGGGGACAGAATGATTTCAGGGTGGATTTGTCTTGGGTTTCACCCTTGGCTGTGTGTTGTCATGGGGTTTGTGGCCCATAAATTCCCTAAAATCTTTTGAGAGTGTGTGTGTGAGATTGTGTGGGGGTGGGGGGCGTGTATATATGGGGAGGTTGATAACCTTTTGGTGGTGGTGGTGGTTTTTTGAGACAGGGTTTCTCTGCGTAGCCCTGGCTGTCCTGGACTCACTTTGTAGACTAGGCTGGCCTCAAACTCACAGTGATCCGCCTACCTCAGAGTGCTGAGATTTCAAGTTTTGTACCACCACACCTGGCAAATACCTGATTTTTTGAGACAGGGTCTTCAGTGAACCTAGAGCTCAGTGTTTGGGCTGGGTTGGCTGACCTACCCTGTCTCTATGGCCCAGTCTTCAGGCTACAGCCACCAGCTTCTCTGAGGGTGCTGGGGATCAAAATTCAGGCCCTCATTGTTTTCAGCAAGCACTTTACCTGCTGAGCGCTCCCCTAGATTTTACTCTAAATTGTGCACATGGGTATTTTTCTGATTTTTAATTCCGCAAAAGATGCTCAGTATTTTCCTTACATTATAAAGTAAAAGCAGTGAAGTAAACTGACAGGAAACTGAGAATGATGAAACTAGATTAATGAAGTATATATAGTACTTCTGTAAATTTTTTTAAATAGGTAAGTGAGCCAGATTTGGTGGCTCACTCATGCTTGTAATCACAGCATTTAGAGGAGGCCGAGGCCAGTCTGGGCTAGAGTGAGACTTGGTTTCAAAAACAAAACAAGCAAACAAAACAAGCAAAACTGGATGTTTGTTTGCTGCACTCTATTCACTGTGGAGATGTATTGGCGTCTCTTGCTGTAGTGTGACTGCAAGGTGTTCTAGTGAGTAGCACAGCACAGCAGTTAAGAGCTTGTATAACAAGGACTCTAGACCCAGATGAAGTAGGTTCAAACACCATTTACACCAGTAACTGATTTTAGGACCTTGAGCAAGTTGAATCTCCCTGCCTTGGTGTCCCACTCAGAAATGGGGGAAACAATGGTAGCTACCTCATAACTTGATAAGAATTCAATGGATTAAAACATAGGCCTCGGCATTAGCTTGGATTACTGTACCATGGAGTCCATACACAGCTCCTTAAAGCCCTACAATAGGTTCACATGTGTTTAAACCTGAGAAACCAGGACATGGAAATCAGAGTGTATAAATAGTGAATGTTAATGTAATCATGTATAATAATTCTCATCTTCATTCCTTGAGGTTACCCAAGTATGGTCATTATCAAGAAACTGTTCCATCATTAAGTACCTAATTTCTAAAAGCAAGCACCCAAATAATTGTCTCAAGGGGTAATCTCATTTGTTATAGGTAAGAAAACAGAGGCAAAAGACCTAGGGTTTCACGGTGCCTGGCTTCGCCCCATGCCTAATCGACTGTTTCCATCTCGACGCTTGCTAATGGGCTCACAAGTGGCTTGCCTTTTAAGAAAGTACTTTGTGGTGTTTTCATGTGTATCACCTACGTGGGAAATGTGAAGTCCTTTGGCTTAGTCATATTTCCTCCATAACTTTGGAGCTGTGGGTTTTTCTCTTGGAGAAACTTGGATGGACCTGTCTGTCACTCCTGTCATTATCAGAACTGCGAGAGATTTTAATTGTAAGCAGAAAGTGCATTTGCTGTTAGAATGGTTTCATTGCCTAAACTGTTGAAAATTCTAATAAAATAACTCTTTCTAAGAACTCGTTGGACTGGGCTTTTTTGTCTCCATTGTGCATTTGATGAAAAGTGGTCTGAATGGGATCAGGAGTGGGCGGATACGCGGCTTCAGTTCCTTGTCCCAGTCAAAGCCTCTGCCCTTAACCATTCACGGGTCCCTTGGTCTGGAGGTCGCACCTTCTATCCTAAGTGGGAAGGGGGCTTTGGTGCTGTCGTGCACGGAAGCAACGCCTAGTTTAGCTCTTAAGTTGTCAAATTCAATGCTTAAATTCTCCAGTATTGCCATTTTCAAAAACCTGAAAGAGCGAATTAAGAGAACGGATTGATAGATATCAGGAACGGATAGTTGCTTCATGCGGCAAGCGATGCTTAAAACACAAACCTGCCCCCAATCTTGTCCTCGGCGGAAGTCCTCAGCGGCCAGCATCCTGCCCACCCGTGACCGTGGGCGTCGCCACCTTTGCCGCACTCGGTCCTCGGTGCAGACGGACCCGAGTTCCCCAGCTCCGCCCGGGGAACGGCGGCGCCCTCCTTACCTGCGACCGCAGCGGGGCCGCTCAGCCGCCGCGGAGCACGCACGCGCAGGCGCGCCCCGCGGTCGGTCACGTGCTCCGCGGCCCGGGCTGGCGAAGCCGGAAGTAGCCTGGGGCTCGAGAAGGCCCGGGAGCCGCGGACACACGGCTGGGTAAGAGGGGCGGGCGGAGGGCTGGGGGAAGGGCGGGGGCGGCTGGGTGCGCCCCGGGGGTCGGGGAGGCGGGCTGCTGAGTCAGAGCTTCGAACCCAGGGCCCCCGCAGCGTCGCGCTCGCCGGGGCTGGGCCCGGGCGGCCGGGCAGGAGGGCTGCCCTCCGCGGAGTTGGCTGGCCGCTCCCACCCTTGGCCCAGCTGACACCGTGGGCAGTTTTTAAATAGACTGGCGACCGAACAGGCGTTCCCACCCGGGGTCACCACGTTTTCTGTGTACACGGGCGAAATGCAAATTCCCCTGTTCTCTCGTTCCTTTTTGAGCTGCTGGATTGATTTCCCTAATCCAGTACCCTAGTATTTTTTTGTCGTCCCAAGACAGCTTCTCCCGGAGAACTGTCAAAGGCATGCACCAAACCCGACCTTTCCCATCTGGAACCTCTACTGCCTGTCCAATAAATGGTTGACGTAGAGCTAGAGTTTGGAAATTCTGGAACTTTTGTCCGTGCACCATGTCACCAAACCTGTTTTATCCTTAATAACTTTCGTTTTAAACAAAGGAAGTAGACCGAGGGCAGCATCACCGGAAAACGTACTTGTTGAATACCAGCTTATACGCCTGTCAAAATTTAGGGACATTTACATAGGAAGCCTCTGGTGGGTGTGCTGAGTCATGTTTTAGTCACGAGGGGGTTACTGGAAGAAACTTTCAAATCGTCACCATTGTGGACCCATGTTTTTTTTAGTGTTATACAGAGAGCAGCTGTCTTGGCTGATTAAGTGTTTTCAATTATCCACTAGATACGTTATGAGCAGTGCAACCTTAGTTGCAAGTTAGGCAAGGTTTTCCATTACATATTTGGATTTATCACCCCTGACTGAAACATAGTAACTGGTAAATGCCTTTGTTGTTTGTGAGAAGGGGGTCTTATTGCTTACGTCAAATAGGCTGATGGATGTACAGTTCCTTATCTCAATCACAAAGGCAATAAAATTATAAATACAGCTGGTGTATAATAGATTGGTGAAACTTGGACCCATGGCCGTTTTCTATGGTCCCAACCATCCGTGGAAGATCAGAGTTCTGACTTCCTGGAAATGGACTGCTGAGATCAAACCTTACAACAGCTTACAGGAGGCTGATGTGTATAGCGCTTGTGCCGTCCTCAAACGGCTTTCCTGTGTTAAAAGACGAGTCTGCACTTGATGCTTCTTAAGACTTGGTAATGCATTCTTGGCATGTGTATGTCTGTCCATTTAGAAGTTATGGAGAAGAGTGCTTTTTCATGTCTTTTACATTGTATTTATTGTGTGTGCAGGTATGTATGTGCGTGGACTCGTGCACAGATAGTCCACATGGGTTCTAGGGACTGAATTCAGGTTGTCATGTTTGGCAGCAAGCCTCTTTGCCCACTGAGCCATTTCACTGGCCCAGGAAACTATCCTTAAGCAGCAGAAGAGCTCCTGGCTTTTCAGGAATAATAGCTTCCGTGCTTTTCAGTTCAGTTTCCCCGTAGGTGAAAATTTGTGCTCTGGAACAATCACGTGGTTGTTGCTTTCTGTACTACCCTAATTTCTACTTATCTCCCAGCACTTGGGAGGCAAAGGCAAGAAGATTACAGGTTCAAGGCCAACTTGGACTATAAGAAGACCCTGTGTCCATTTTTTTTTTTTTTTTGTAAATCAATACTCTTTCAAAATACTGGGAGTAGATAAGTAGTCGATATTACTCTAATTGGCAGAGACAATATCAGATGATAAAGGGATATTTCTTACAGGTCAGCAATGCAAATTAAATCGAATATATGAAAAAAAAAGCCAGATGTGGGAGTTGGAGCGATGGCTCAGTGGTTATGGTACCTGCTCCTCTTGCAGAGAACGGGGCTTAAGCTCCCAGCACCCACAGTGGATTGGTCACAACTGCCCAGCTCCTGGGGATCCAGACCCCCATCTCCTCCAGCATCACATGCAGGCTCACACTCAAGCACAGATCTTTTTTAATTAAGCAAACAAAAAACACCAGGTCTACCTGTAATTCCATAATTCTGGAGGCCGAGACAGAAGACCAGTCTGGGTTATATAGAGAGCTCAAGAGAACGCTGGGAGATACCATAAAATACTGCCTCCAAAGCATAACAAAAATAATTGAGGCCAGGCAGTGGTGGCACACACCTGTAATTCCAACACTCAGGAGGCAGAGGCAGGTGGATCTCTAAGTTCCAGCTGGTCTGCAGAGTGAGTCCAAGACAACCAAGGCTACACAGAGAAATGCTGTTTCAAATAAAACAAAAATAACAATAACAATAGTAATAATCGAATGTGTGCAAGTGGTTTAATAGTGTGGTGGTGCCCACATAGCATTTATCCTGTAATATTGTTAGAACATATTTTTTTACCCTGGACTGTGTTTCTGCACTTCAGCTTAGTAGTAAATAATAAGTAGTCTTACTTCAAGCCAAACATGGCTAACATTTGTTTTTCGGTTGTGTTATTTCCTTAACAGCATACATGCAAATCTCTTCTTTCCCCTCAGCGTGAGGAGCAGCGCCTGACCAAGCCGAGATGCAGAGCACTTCTAACCATCTGTGGCTTTTGTCTGATATCTTAGGCCAGGGGGCCACTGCAAATGTCTTCCGAGGAAGACATAAGGTAGGTGCAGTGTTTCACTCTATCATTGCTTTATTTCCTCCTGACAAGCACATTTAAATGGAAACATTTGGCTTTGTGATTTTGACCTTTTTTTTTTTTTTTTTTTTTTTTTGCTGTTGTCTAAAGAAAGGGGTTTTGTGATTTTTGTGATTAAGAATGAGTTTATTTGTATTGGGGCAGTGAATACATCTGTCTAGTGGTGCCAGAGTTTGTGAGTTTACAGGAGGGAAGAGAGCTGAAGTCATTGAAGAGTGTTCCCTACCTGCCTTCCTGACAGTGACATTTAGTGGAGGGAGGGCTGGGCACACTGGCAGATGCTCGGTCATAGGACCCGCAGGTGGTTCTTGTGTCTAAAATAGTATCGGACAGGGTAGGTGGGAGTGAAGAGACTAAGCACGGAAACTGGAGTTAGAAGGCTGTGTCCTAGTGTGAGGTAATCTGGATCTGGTACAAGTGGGAGTCAGATTAAAACAGTTGATCCTGGCAGCAGGTCTGTAGTGATAGTTCTGGAATTCGGGGTTCTCTAAAACACCACAGAAATATTATAAAAGTATGTTTTCCTTTTAAGCCCAGGTGTGGGGATATGGGGCTGCTTTGGGCTGCCGCAGCAGCTGATTATGATTAGCGTCTTGCTGTAGTAGAGGTGTGGCTTTGCCAGCTGCAGAGAGTTTCTGCGATGTGTGACCTTTGGAATTCTGGGAACTTTTCAGTGGGTATATAAATGCTAGTGCCCTGCCAGGTAGGATTGGTGGTTGCTGGTCATTCAGGGGAGTCGGTTGCGGTTTGTTAGTTGTGCTCAAAGACGCAACAATAAAGAAATTATGTTCAACAAGGATCTCTCTCTTTCTCTTTTTCTCTCTCTTTCCCTCTTTCTTTCTACCTCCCTTTCTCTCTCTCTATCCCTCCCTTCCTCCATCTCCCTCCCTCTCTTTCTTCCCCTCTCTCAGTCCCCCTTTTCCCTCCTTCACTCCCTTTTTTCTTCGCCCCCTTCTCTTCTCCACCCCCCCCCACTCTATCCTTTCTCTCCTATCTAGTGTTAGGGGATAAAACAGGGTAGGGGGATAAAGGGTGAGAAAAAGAAGAATCCACAAAGTAGCAAAAACCAGCTACAAGCTAAGAAGAAAGAAATTAGATTTAAGGATCTCTAGCTCTCTCTCTCCCCTCTATCCTTTTTTTCTCCTATATAGTGATGGGGGTAAAACTGGGGGCATAAAGGATGGGAAAAAGAACCCATAGAGTAGCTAGTCCAGCTACACACATCAAAAACCTAAATTTAGCATTTTGTTGAGTTCTCTATTAGAGGATAAAATTAAAGATAACTAGAATAGCTGGGCAGTCATGGTGTCCTCCTTTAAACCCAGCACTTGGAGTCAGAGGCTGGTGGATTTCTGAGTTCAAAGCCAGCCTGGTGTAAAGTGTGGTTCCAGAATAGTCAGGACTACACAGAAAAAAACAAAAACAAAAACCTAGAATAATTTAATATGAAGAAATCAGAGATATATGTGTAAAAAGCTGAAAAAAAATAACAATAAGAATTCCTTTTGTAGCTCAAATAGTGACTGATCTTTCAACACTATGAGTTTGTTTTAGAGTGAGTGATGTTTGGAGCCTTGTAATTCTTATTTTCAGACACAGGAACTGTGAATGTTTTAGCGTGTGTGTGTGTGGGGGGGGGTGATTTTGTTTTCCCAAAGCTTTAAGATTATCACTGAACATTGTCACATGGTGGTGCATGCCTGTAATCCCAGCACTCAGGGAGGCAGAGGCAAGTGGATCTCTTAAGTTCAAGGCCAGCCTGGTCTACAAAGTGAGTCCAGGACAGCCAAGGCTACACAGAGAAACCCTATCTTGAGCAAACAAAATAAAACAAAGCAAAATGATTGTCACTGTGACAAGCATGCATGAGTGAGGGGCTGTTTTCTCTGGGGAGAGACTGTGATTATAAACAGCTGTATGGCTCGTAAAGAATGAGTCATAAATGTCACGAGGACAGCTTTTAGAGATTTCATCTTGGTTCTCGAATTGGCCACGGGCTCTGGATCCTTATTTAAGTTCACTTCCTTTGTTCTTGGGATAGTTCTTTGCTAGAATTTTTTTTTTTTTTTTTTTGCTTGTTTGTTTGTTTGGGGCCAAGAAGAGAACAGAATTTAGTGTTGAAATGCATCTGACATTTTGCCTTCCTTTGTTCCAAGTTAATGTAGTGGTTACTTAGTATTTGTCAGGTGCTGTGGTGGGCCTGGAGTTGTAACATATAACCAATGAGCAAGCCCTACACAAGACAAGTTTGGTTTTGTATCAAGATGCCATTAGGAAGGATACACATTGGAAACTAAGTGACAGTAGTGATAACCTGGCTGACGAGTTTAAAGTGCTGGCATTACTAGATAGTTTCTGAGTTCTGGTCCTTTCCCTGCTTAGCTACTAAGTGTCTTTCATGTAAACACCTAGACATGCTAGATCCTCTGAAACGTTCACTGAATGAAAGAATAAATGGATGAATAAGATCAAACTAGATACCCTAAGGCAGCATAAAGTTCCAAAGAAACAAAGATGTACTTTTAAAGATATATTGTGGAAATCTAAAATAACAGATCTGAGGAGGGTAAGAATTGACCTAAGAGGTTCCTATGACCCAGTCTATTATTTGGTCATTAATAGTCTCTCCAGAGATGTATTTTCAGACACTGTGATTGTTCTTAGTGATATCAATGTCAACTGCAAGTGTTTATGATGGCACTAAAAAAGCAGGGTGTGGAGTGTGGAGTGGAGCGATGGCTCAGGGGTTAAGAGAACACACTGCTCTTGCAGAGAACCTGATTCTGGTTCCTAGCATCCTTGTCAGGTGGCCCACATTGCCTATAATTCCAGCTCCAGGGGATCTGATGCCCCTGTCCTGCACAAGCACCTGCACTCAATGTTACATCTCCACACACAAGTACACAAGTCCCCATGCTTGGAAATGGTACCATTAGGCTGGAGAGCTGCCTTAGTGCCGAAGAGCACTGGCTGCTCTTGCAGAGGACCGAGGTTTGATTGCCAGCACCCACATGGTGGCTCACAACGGTCTGTAACCAGTTACAGGAAATCTTAGGCTTTCTTCACCCTTCTGGAGCACCAGCAAGCACAATGCACAGCCATACATGCAGGCAAGACACCCGTGCACATAAAATAAATAAATCTCTTTTAAAATCTTGTGTTCCTTTAATTTAAATTTGTGTTTCATCATGATGCTCATTCTTTTGTGCACTGCTTAGGATACCATGTCCGTAAACACACTGCCATGTAAATCATATTGCTTATTTAATCTTTAGGGCCGTTTTATTTATTAATGTGTGGTTTGTGTGTGCAGACACGCTGCCGTGGTATACATGTTGGAGGTCAGAAGGCAACTTTCAGTTGTCACTTCTCTTCTGTTGGTTCTGGGGATTGAACTCAGGCTATCAAGTTTGCATGGCAGGTACTTATCCACTGAGCCATCTCACTGTGCTCCTTCTCTTAGACTTTCTTGTTAAAGTTGGGGGTGGGGTGGAGTGCATGGGTGTGACAACTGGTGAAGGTGAAGACAAGGGACTTGTAGGAAGGCTGTGCTGATCATGCAGATCTAATTCTTATAACTTTGACTTGTGACAATCAATATACGGAACAATCTCATCGTCCAGTTACCTCACACTTGTGAGAGGCTCCAAACCTCTCCAGACAGCAGGCCCTGACTACCCTGGATGTGCTGCAACATTGTTTTGTCTCCGCTGCTTGCTCCTCTGTTGGAAACCTCCTTTTTGGGGGGTGAGATGGCTTGGCAGGTCAGGCAATTGCAGCCAAGTGTAACAACCTAAGTTTATTCCTCAGGTCACATATGCAGAGAGAGGAAACTGAGGAATGCATACTGCCCTCTGACCCCTACCCATACACACACACACACACACACACACACACACACAGTAAAATAAATAAATGTAACAAAATTTTAAGGAAAAAAAAATCTTATGTTAAACTGAGTTTGAGACATTTATAAGGAAATATACATTTCTTTGTATTTGGTGTGACTTGGGCAGTGGGGGGTCATTTAAAGAAAGCAGTCTTCAAATATTGATACTGAGAGGTGGGATTATTAACAACAGTGAATAGTTGTGAAAGATAATGATTCTGTGGTCAGAGGAAGAAGGTGACTGTGAATCTGTGGAAAGGAGGCGTACAGTCCAAAGGAGAGGCCCCAACCAGGGGGCCAACCCGCAAGCAGGTCACACTTGAACCCCGAGAATAGCTGGTTCTGAGGAAATGCAACCTTGAGTATATAGGGGGAAAGTGGGGCTGAATGGGAGAAACAGGCTTGTTCTGGCCCCCGGGGGAAGCTTGCTGGTCCCAGAGACTGCAAGGGAGTGGCCTGGAACTGTTTAGAACGAGGTTAATTTTGTAGTGCTAAAAAGCTGTGGTTAGTTGTGTGTCATGACACTGCACATACCATCTACTCGGTACGGGAGGGAAGCTAGAGGGGAGCTGCTGCGGTATGTAGGAAGATCCTGCCCCTCTAAAGGCAGCCGATGAAGGAACGATTGCCTCCCACCCCGTCTAGGTCAGGTTGAAGGTGGGTATGCAGGACAGCAGTCTAAGGGCCAGCCAGGAAGTCCACTCGGCCTGCAGCGGCATGATCTAAGCAGGAAGTTCACGCTGACCTCGATTCTCAGACTTCTACAGACACATTAACACAGCTAGTGACAAAAATTTCCAAAAATTGAATTGCATTCCTTTGATAATGTTGATAAAATTTTTGTAGGTGGAGTATAATTTTTCTGTCTCTTTGTTCTTAGTTGTAAATGTTTGGTTCTGGGAAATCACTGTAGTTTCGCTTTCAGTTTCTTCTCCAAAAGAAAGCTGTTACCTTCTGCTACATGGCTGACTGGCTTGGCCACCAGTGTGCCACTTGTCAGTTCTGTTTGTAATGTAAGAAACAGTGACTTTTGGGGAATCCAGATTCTTTACCTGTTTTAGATTGGGGGGCTCTGATTCCAGAGCTTGGTCTGAAGGATGTGTGGTGTGCTGTGAGACTGACTCCTCTGTCTTGTCTGTCTTCCAGAAAACTGGCGACTTATATGCTGTCAAAGTATTTAATAACATCAGTTTCCTTCGCCCCGTGGATGTTCAAATGAGAGAATTTGAAGTGTTAAAAAAACTCAATCACAAAAACATTGTCAAACTTTTTGCTATTGAGGAGGAGGTAAGTGTTCAGGCTTGCCGCTGTGTGGTGCTTGTTTCCACTCAGAAGACAGTGCCTAGCAGAAGGGGCACCAAACACCAGGGTCTGCATGGCTCCTGTCATGCTTTATCCCTGCCATTTTTTTTAAATACATAGAGATAGAAACAAAATGTTGTAGAATGAAAGCAGGAAAAAAAAAAAGAAGGATGAGAGGTCTAAAATGTGGTTATTTGTAGTGAGGCACCTTTAATCCCAGCACTCAGGAGGCAGAGGCAGGTAGATCTCTTGAGTTCAAGGCCAGGCTGGTCTATAGAGCGAGTTACAGGACAGGTGGGACTACACAAAGAAATCCTGTCTCAAAAATCAACCGAACAACAACAAAAAAATGGTTACTTGTATTATTTATGAAGGAAAAAAAAAAAAGGAAGAAAAACTAAGTGCATAATTTTAGAAAGAACAGGGGCTGGAGAAATGGCTCAGCACTTCTAAGAACTTGTTGCTCTTCCAGAGGCCCAGGTTCAGTTCCCAGCACCCACAGCTCACAGCCACCTCTGACCCCAGCTTTGGGAGATCCCATGGGCCCTGCTGGCCTCTGGGGGTGCCTAGACACACATATACATAAATGTGAATAAATACCTCACCACAAAACAAAAAGGCAGTGATAGAAACCTTTGTAAATGAGTAAAACTTGTAGTAACTCAATTTTATAATTAAAGTCTTAATTATAAAAGTATTAATTCTAAGGAAAATAGCAGATATTAACTGTACCCTTAGGAAAAATATTTTAGAAATAATGAAGTGGAAATCGTCTTGCTTTTAGACATAAATATTTAGTAAAGATTATCTCTTAAATATTATTGAATTGTATATCCCTTACCCTTGTGACTTTATTCTTGATTATTAAGTTTGATCAAGTATAAATTATAGTTTTATGCATTAAAATGTGAATTGGTACTGACAGAAAAGCTGAGTAAGTTAAAATGTATGGTAGCTAGTTACCTGAATTTAGCCAAACTCAAGAGAACACAGAAAAGCACTGTATTTCCTCCTGCATGCGAACCACGGGTACAGACACAGGCAGGGTAGACTGTGAGCCAGTTCAAGGCATGGAAGCTTACCCTCCGCACTGATGGGGAGAGCATCAGTAGCCTGAAAGGCCCACCTGAGCCTCTGCTGTGTCTGACTGTGTTCGCAGGACTGCATTGTGTTTTGCCTGCACTGCTGACCTTTGGTCTCTCCTGCTCCCAGGTCAGATACGTGTGATGTGTCCTGCAGCCTCCATAAAATGCCATTGCTAGCTGAGTGTAGTGGTAAGCTCTCATAATCCACGCGCTTAGGAGGACGAGAAGGAAAGTCAGGGCTTCAGGGCCAGCCAGCCTATAGAGCACAAACCTATCTCAAAAAAGTTTTAAAGGCTCAAACCTGTAATCTTCTTAAAAACTAATATATTGGGGGCTGAAGAGATGGCTCAGTGGTTAAGAGCACTGTCTGCTCTTCCAAAGGACCTGGGTTCAATTCCCAGCACCCACATGGCAGTTCACCACTGTCTGTAATGCCCATTCCAAGGGATCTGACACCTTCACACTAATGCACATAGAATAAAGTTAAATAAATTAAAAAATATATTTTAAAAAAATAATTTATTTATTTTTATTTTATGTGTATTATTGTTTGCCTGCATGTATGTCTGTGTGAAGATAAAATCAGGGAGCTGGAGAAATAGTTCAGAAGTCATGAGCACTGGCTGCCTTTTTAGAGGACCTGGGTTTGATTTCCAACACCCACATAGCAGCTCATGCCAAAGCCCAGCTGTTAGAGACCAGGATAAAAAAGTGAGGCAGCCATACACAGAGTCAGCCACATTAATTGCTCTGTAGACTCTTCTCTGCTGGCTACAACACTTAATTACCTGATGAGGAAGCTTTAACTTTTTTAAGCAGGCGGCAAAGAGTTGTTTTTACTCTGTGTGAGCTGGGAAGAGAGAGAAAAGAATAGGAAAATTCTTGCTCATTCACTTATACACATTTTTTTTCAGTAGATGAGACAAAGGGAACTCTCACAAGTTTCATACGTGCACATACATACAGACATGCAGACATATAAACATATAGATATATACATGTATATAACTGGATGGAGTAAATCCCCAGAGGCTCCAACCGCCAACATTTTTTCTTTGTTCTCAAGCCTTTTTATCATCCAAGATAAAGTCTTTGCATTAAAAGCAAAATTACTCCACAGCTATAAAAGCAATTTGTTATACATCAGGATTTTCATGATGGAGGCTCACAAGGTTTAAGGTTAACAGGGTCCCAGGGGTTACAACAAGATAATCATTTATGTCTTTCCATTAAGACTTCACTTGACTAAACATACTTTAACTGTCTCTTGGCTCCATGAGTTCACTATGGGTTCAAAATAATATTTCTATCTTCCATTCCACAGCTAGTTATTTATCTATTTTCTGTTCATGGCTGTCTATCATGGTGCATACTGAGACCCATGACTTGACCTCTGGAGCTAGAGCAAAAGTTTACCTAGGTCATAAGTCTGTCGCAAGCCTGTTCTTCTCCCTAGCGCAGTTTACGTGGCAGTGATGTGTGAAGATTCACAGATTCTTAGCAGTTTTTGCTATTGTGCAGGAGGGTTTAAAATCATTTGAATCAAATCAGGAACTTTATAAAATCATTATCAGGAATTATCAATTGTTATCAGTTCATCTAAACAGCATTATTACATGGAAGTACATCTTCAGTTTGATGTACAGGAAATCTGCCCAACAGAGTGTGTAAAGACCCAGGAAACAATAGGCAGTGAGGTCCCTGCCATGCCAGATAGATGAGAAATAAAGTAATGATGCGTGTGGAAAGGCAATCAGCAGTAAGAAGTAATCTAGAGACAGAATCTCTAGTCTAGACCGCACCAGGGTGCACCTGTTCATCAGCTGTTCAAAAACAGTCGGCTCCCTCCAGGACGCCTACTGCTTGCCTCGGGCCCTTCCAGCATGGCTCTTGGCAAGCCCACAAGTATCTGTAACTCCAATTCCTATACCCTTTCTGACCTCTGTGGACACCAGACATACACATAAGACACAGATGTAGATGCAGACAAAACACTGATACACATAAAATTGGGGGAAAAATCAGAATTTAAAAATCATGAATAGAAAAAACTGTATGTATGTAATATGATCCTGTTGTACAATGCTGTATATCTGCAATATACTTTGTTTCATCAGAAAAATGAGATGAAGCATGTAACGTTATTAATTATTCTGTGATGATGGAATTATATGTATTTTTCAAATTTTCAGCCATCAGCACATATTGTTATATAAAACAATAATTTTTATATATATATATATATTATTTCTCTTTTCATGACTGCTGAACAGAGAAAAGAAAATACATTAAGAAAGTATTTGGGGTCTGGATTAAAATCGTTTTTAGAGGACCAAAAATTAACACTATATTTTAACATTAAAAATTTCAGATTTTTAAAGCTGATATATATCATATGATCACTGTATATTATGTAGTTTTATGAGGTTCCTTCTTCCTTATAAAGCTATTATATTGATGACATGTTTTAATTAGTTGAGATGGAAATGAGCAAACCAGATCTTGCTGAGAGATCTTTCAACTATGCTGCCACCCAGTTTTGTTTTGTTTCTTGTTCTGTTTTCCTTAGATTTTGTTTCTAATGTTCACTGTGTATATTTGTATATATGTATGTTACTGGTACAGGTACCCTTGCAAGCCAGAAGAGATGTCCCCTGGAGTGGACATTGCAGGCAATTGTGAGCCCCCTGACATGGGTGACGGAAACTCACTTAGGTCCTCCAGAAGAGGCAGCCCATGTTCTTAGCCACTGAGCCAGCTCTCCAGCCCCCATTGCTTTGTAAGCCTAGGACTTCATGCCTTAAGTAAAAGTACTTATTCTACGAATGAGCTTTATCCTAAATATGTTGTGGTGCAAAAGAAACCAAGTGACTTGAACAAAAATAGTAAACACTGCCACCATGATGTTATGGTTGAAATCTAGCTAGTTTTCACTGGCTTGTCTTCCAGTGAAACTCAACCTTAATTTATATGTAATATGCTCTATCTATATGTGGAGATTTATTTTTTTATTTGTGGTGTATGCTCACATGTGTTGTAGTGTTGGGGGAGAACAGAACAGCCATCAGTGTGAGTACTGGGAACTGAGCTGAGGTCCTCTGGAAGAGCAGGAGGTGTTTGTAACTGCTGTACTGTCTATCCATCTTGTCAGCTTTATTTAGTAGAAATCTGGAAGCTATTTATTACAGACACGTAGCTTCTTATTAGTCCCAGGTGAAAGGATTCATAGTGACTTCATCTTTGTAGCAAGTCTGCATTTGAATGAGGTCAGGTAGGCAAGCGCTGCCCTAAAACCAGGTTTGATTTTGTTGGTTTCCTGTTGATTTTCAACTAGTGACCTTTCTCTTTTTTTCCCAGACAACAACAAGACATAAAGTACTTATTATGGAATTTTGTCCCTGTGGGAGTTTATACACAGTTCTGGAGGAGCCATCCAATGCCTATGGACTACCAGAATCAGAATTTTTAATTGTTTTACGAGATGTGGGTATGTTTATTTATATGGTTTTACATATATATATATATATATATATATAATTTAATGATACAGAATGAAAAATTAACCTCCTACATTCCAAACAATACACTTTTATACAATGTTTTCTTAGGAATCACACCAAAAGCACAAGTGTCTAAAGAAACATTAGATAAGTTGGATTTATCGGCATTAAAAACTTACTTCAGGGCTTGAGAGATGGCTCAGCTGTTAAGAGCACTGGCTGCTCTTTTAGAGGAGGTTCAATTCCCAGCACCCACACGGCGGCTCACAACCATCCGTGACTCCAGTCCCGGGGAATCTAATGCCCTTTCTGGCCTCCACAGGCATCAAGCATGCACTTAGTACACAGGTATCCATGCATGTAAAATAAAGATTTTAAAACCACAACTTATTTGAGACAATAGCTAAAAAGAGAGCCCACAGAACAGAAAGTATTAGCAAATCACACATAAGATGTGTTGTCCAGACACCCTATCAAAAAGACAATTTTAAAATTTGTCAAAGGATTTGACCAGACATTTGTCAAAAAGAAAGGTTAGACTGATGTTCAACAAGTATATTAAGGAGTGCTCAAGATCAATAATTACTAAGGGAATTCTAATGAAATGCCACTTTTACCCTGAAGGTAACAAGAGCAAGCACTGGCCAGGAAGTGAAGAACTGGGTCTGCCATGCCTTTGCTGCAGGGTCGTAAAGTGGTGCAGTCCTTCAGAGACTAGTTTAACAGTTCCACAAGAAGATAAATATAAAATAACGCGCACTGGGCAATTCTGATAGCCAGACTGAAGGAGTTAAACACATCCACATAAAAACTTATTCACAGCAGTCCAAAAAATAAAATCAGAACAGCCCAAATGTCAACTGACAAATAGATTAAGATGTTTTATATCCATATGATAGAATATTATTCATTCCTGACAAGAAATGAAGCAATGTGTGGTAAGGCAAGTCTGTATCTCCAGCATTTGGGAGGTGGAGGCAGAAGGATCGAGTTCGAGGCCAGTCCACTACAGGAGACCTCGTCTTAAAAAATACAGTCTCACACAGTTCACTTCTCACATAGTCCATGCGCACATCACGAATCACATAGTCATACATCACAGACACACATCACAGAGTCACATACACATCACATAGACACACACATCACAGAGTCACACACACCACACACACTGTTCCAGTTTGGGTTTTGCTGCTGTGATAAACAGCAGAAGCAGCCTGGGGAGGAAAGGGGCTGCTTGGCTTATGGTTCCTGGTCACACTGGATCACTGAGGAAAGCCTGGGCAGGAACTGAAATAGAAACTGTGGAGGAACTCTGACTGGCTTGCCCTAGGACTCATTTTCAATTACTTTCTTACTGCCCAGAGCCACCTGCCCCAGGGCGGCACTGCCCACAGTGGACTGGGCCCTTCCACAGCGCTCAGCAATCAAGAAAATAGCGCAAGCTGCTAAAGGTCAATACGATGCCGGCATTTACCAGCTGACATTTCCTCTCCTGTATGACTCTAATTTGTATCAAGTTGGCAAAAACTAAGCACACATACACACGAGAAATAAATACATTTCTTAACTGAGAAGTTAAAAAGTGAAATATTGACACATGCTCAAGTGTGGGTGAATCTTAAAAGAATGCAGAATGAAGGAAGTGAGAGGCAGAAGATCACAGTATCATCCCCTTCACAAAAAGGTGTAGTCAGTCAGTCCACAAAAACAAAAAGCAGGTGAGTGAGGGAGGGCACGTGTAATCTGAGAGTGCCTGCTAGTGGCTGTAGGGAGAGCTCCTTTGACCAGTACATAGTTTTTATTTGGAGTGTGATCAAAATGTTCTGGCGTTAATGGGGACAGCTGTGTAGCTTTATTACAAACTATTGAATGCTGTACTTTTAAAAAAGGAATGGTAAGTTATGTGAAGTGTGTGTGTGCATTCCAGGAATCCTGTTACCTTTTAAAAGACAAGTGAAATAATACCTTCTTGGACATGAGTCAAGTGTTTAAAGGAGGCTGGTGGCTCATGCCTGTGGTCTCAGCTGATGACCTGCCTGTGAGCCCCACAGCTTCATTCCGGCAGCCTCAGTGCCTCTGCCCTTCAGAAGAACACAGACTGACTTGTCCTTATGGGGACGCGGATCGCACTGTGCCCTCCTGCTGCGTTCTTTTTTAAACTGTTTTGTATGTTGAAGCCAGTTTATTTTTTGTGACTTTATTTCTGAAAGTAAAATACAGATAAAACAAGAGCTGAACATGGTGGCACACAGCTTTAATCCCAGCACTGAGAGGTGGAAGCAGGTGTATCTCTGAGTTCAAGGCCAGCCTGGTCTACAGAATGAATTCTAGGACAGCCAGGGCTACACAGAGAAACCCTGTCTTTAAAGAGAGAGGGGGTGGGGGAGGAAAAGAAAACAACAAAAAAGTATAAAGCTGTGGTGAAAGATGCTCATCTTTCTGGGATCGTTATCACCAAAAGCATCTCAGGATGTCCTGAGCTTAACACTCTTTTGTTCCATTAGCCTTACAGTTATCAGAGACAGCACACTTCCGAGGGCCATAATTCCTATCTAAAGCTCCTTGTGGGTGAAACATGAGAATGTATATACGCACACATGTGCATGGCGTGGGGGGTGTTTGTAGAGGGGGGAAATCTGTGTCTTACAACAAAATCGTGAGTTTGGATGAATACGAGTGTACCCTGGGCATGGGTTTGAGGTGCATGTACAAATGGAGGCCTACTGTGTTGTGAGCCGCTCTGTTGTGTTTCCTGCTGAAGTGGGAGGAATGAATCACCTCCGAGAGAATGGCATAGTGCACCGTGACATCAAGCCCGGCAACATCATGCGCGTCATAGGGGAGGATGGACAGTCTGTGTACAAGCTCACGGACTTCGGGGCTGCCAGGGAGCTCGAGGACGATGAGCAGTTCGTGTCGCTGTACGGCACGGAAGAGTACTTGGTAAGTCGCATAGTACCGGTAGTCTCACCTCGATAGCCGGATAGGTATGCTTCACGTGGAGTTACGCCACAGGCCTATAAATACTATGGAATCCTCAGGACAGGCTCTGTTTTCTGTAAGAAGGGAATTAGGAAGTGATTTCTAGGTATACTGTCATTTTCTATTGGGCGGACTCAGAGGTGTCTCAGTTGTGCTGACACAGCTTTGATCACAGCAATCAAGAGGCAGCACTTGAGTGGATGGGTACAGGTTCAAGGCCAGCCATGTCTACATAGAACATTCCGGGTCAGCCAGGGCTATAGAATGAAACCCTATCTCAAAACAAATCAACAAAAATCCAGCAGCAAAAATTCTTAGCTTTATAGCTATGTACTAATGCAATGGATTTGTTTTATTTTATGTACATTGCTGTTTTTCCTGCATGCATCTTTATTTTATCTGTATTGGGGTTTTGCCTGTAGGCATATCTATGTGAGGGTGTCAGAAGCCCTGGAACTGGAATTACAGATATTTGTGAACCGCCATGTGGTGCTAAGAATTTGACCAGGACCTTCTGGAAAAGCAGCCAGTGCCCTTAAGCAGTGAGCCCAGTGCAATGGATTTGTATTAAAAGAAAAGGCACTTGAATACTTAAGAAGCGTCTGGCCAGGAGAGCCCCCAGTTGGGCTCAGTGCAGTGAGGAGTGGGACAGTTTGCTTTGGTGGGAAGCTGCACATTGGGAAATTGCTGAAAAGTAGTGTGCTGTCAGTGTTTAGTGTTACTGAGTTTTAAATGTTTATTACACTCATTTATTGGAGACATGCACGTGGCTATGGCACACCTGTAGAGGTGAGAGGACAGCTTGGGGCAGTCACCTCTCTTCCTTGGCCGTGTTTGTTCCAAAGGTCACACTCGGGTCATCAGGCCTGATTACAGGCTTCTTTCCCCACTGAGCCTCTCTCCAGCCCAAAACAGTCTTCAGAGAATGGAAACGTGAAATTGCTAGAAAGACATGGTAGGACTTCTAGCCTTGTTGAGTACTTGTTTTTTAATATCATTTCAGTCTTAAACTCATAACGATTTTCTGTTTTAGCATCCGGATATGTATGAGAGAGCAGTGCTAAGAAAAGACCATCAGAAGAAGTACGGGGCCACAGTTGACCTTTGGAGTATTGGAGTAACGTTTTACCACGCAGCTACGGGGTCACTGCCCTTTAGACCATTTGAGGGGCCTCGAAGGAATAAAGAAGTGATGTAAGTGGTTTCTCCAGCTAAAGTTAGAAATATATGTGTGTATGTATATGTATATATATACATGTATTTCTAATATATGTGTATCTATTATATGTGTATCTATTATATATATATTTCTCATATATATGTACACACACACACACACTTTGTTTCTGTTTTTGTTTTTTGAGATGGGCTCTGTGTGGCCTTGGCTGTCCTAGATTCACCTTGTAGACCAGGCTAGCCTCAAACTCACAGAGATACATCTGTCTCTGCCTTCCTGAGTGCTGGGATTACAGGCATTCATCACCATGCCTGACTAAAAACAATTTTCTAATGTATCTCATTTCTCCATATGTTGGATGAAAATTGGCTTTTTCTGATACTTTATGCTACCTGGATTTTACTAAGAATGCAGCCTTCTGAGAATGTTGGCATAGTTTTCCAAATCATGTTTAAATGTGCAAAGAGTATAAATAGTATCGAGTCTCCAGTCCATTGTCACATGTGTACTGTTTCCTGAGTTTGACTCCAGCACATTTCATTTCTTTATTCTACTTTGTGTGCTCGTCAGTTTTCTCCATGCAGCTGAAACAACAACCAGTATGCTTCTGTAGAGAAATAGAACAAATGACATTCAGTTCTTACCTTCCACTAACTGATGGACTATTTTAAAAATGACATTTGACAGTAATTTTTCTTCCGTTGTTACAGTTTCCATCCAGAGATAAAGCATTTCTGTAGTGTAGCATAGTATGCATTTGTATTTTCTTTGTATGAGTATATGTTTTGTATTTGTATTTTCTTTGTATGAGTATACGTTCCTGCATATATGTCTGCGTACCTGGTACCTGAAAAGGCCAGAAGATTGCCCGGAACTGAAGTTACAGATGGTGGTGAACTGTCATGTCAGTCCTGGGAACTGAGCCCAGGTCCTGTCCAAGATCAGTCAGTGTTCTTAACTACTGAGCCATCCCTCCAGCCACATAGCATTGTATGCATTTATATGCTGCCATATTTTTGGAGAAATGAACAACAATACAAAGTCACGAATAGCAAACCAAAAAAAGCAAGAAGAGAAATTTCTGGAGTGAAATTTATTATGTGATTCATCTGTACACCGTCAGGGTTTCTGTTGCTGTGAATGATCAAACACCATGACCATCTTGGGGAGGAGAGGGTTTATTTCATCCTACAGCTTGTAGCCCATCATTCAGAGAAGTCAGGGCAGGAGTAGGCGGCAGGAGCTGATGCAGTGGCCATGGAGGGGTGCTGCTTACTGGCTTGCTCCTCACTCCTCAGCCTGCTTTCTTGCTCAGCCTGGTTTCCTAACCATTCAGGACCACCCACCTACGGTTGACAATACCCGAACTGGGCTAGGCCCTCCCTTATTAATCATTAACCATGAAATTGTGTTAAATATTTGCCTGTGATCCAATCTTAGGGAGAGGCATTTTCTCTATTAAAATTTTCTCCTCCCAGATATATGTAGGTTTGAGTCAAGGTAAACAAACAAACAACCCCACCCACCCAGTCTTCAGAGAACCCAGGTTCAGGTCCCTACACCCTGTCAAGTGGCTCACAACAGCCTATAACACCACCTGCCAGGGATCTGATGCCTTCTTCTGGCCTCTGTGGGCACCTGCCCTCATTTGTGTTCGTGCATGTCTAATTAAAATAAAGGTTATTTTTTTAAAGTTCAGATACTGTGATGGCTTTTGCTGAAGCTTGAACATTTGCATGTGTGCTAGTGAAATTCACCATGATTATACAGGAAGATGTCCACTAATTGCACTAAGATGTTTTCACTGTCAGCCTGAGCTTGCTTTACAGCGATGCCCTTTTTATTAAACCTCTTCTTTAGCAAAGGCCAAGGCTCCTTTTGTTTCCTCATTAAATGTAAGTTATATCAGATAGTTACCCGCTTCTGTTTTCATAGATACATTTTTAAAGCAGTAACTACAAGTTTTGCTGCTCTAAAAATGGATATCAAAGTGTGTCACTTGCAAGAAAGGAAACCTGAACCACAAGCCTCCTGGTGGCTCTGCATGATCACTCTGTGGACACGTTACTAGAATGTGTCGCCTCTGTGCAAACACTGATAGTGATGTCTAAAGGTGCATCCTCATCAATGACTGTTTGATTGTCCTGGTGAGTGATTCGCTCTTCTCCACCACAGCCGTGTTGCTCCTGCATCACATTTGCACATGATTAAGCTGACATGTAAATCTTATAAAATTTAAAGTTCGTGATGAATTTGTATAGCATAGCAATACTGTCATGATTCTCTTCACTTCTTTCTTTGCATTAACCTTACATCTCCATTTATTCTTCTGTAATTGGTTTGAGCACATGTGAACACTTTATTTTTCATATTAATTTCTTTTTTGTTTGTTTTGTTTTGTTTTTTTGAGACAGGGTTTCTCTGTGTAGCTTTGGCCGTCCTGGACTCACTTCATAGACCAGGCTGGCCTTGAACTCACAGAGATCCGCCTGCCTCTGCCTCCCTGAGTGCTGGGATTAAAGGCCTGCACTACCATGCCTGGCTAGTTTCTTTATTTTAAAACATCTCTTGAGGCAGAAATTATGGCTGCCTCCATGGAAGAAGTAGCAGTCTGTATCTGTTGGTTTACTGGTTGAGTCTAGTTTTAAATATACATTGATTTGCTCAGAGCATGTTTGCTTAGATGATAAACTAAAAATGATCAGACAGAAACACTGTCCTTTGGCTGACCTAAGATACTGCCGATTAATGCTGAATGCTTTCGTGCAGGTTCTTAAAGGAAAGATCCCATTTGAGACCTAGAGCCCTCCTGCCTGACTTGCTACATACATCCCCACTGTTCCCTGCTTCCCAGCCAGCCTGGCTTCTGCTCATGTTTTTATATCACACTCATCATTTGGCTTATCATTTTAGAGCATCTATTCCTATATGTGTGTGTGCTTTTAGAATGTGCAAAGGATTTTTCTGATACTGTGCTGTGTATAGTTTTATCTCCTTCCTTTTTAAAAGAATAATTCTATGGCTCATTTTGTAGTATCTTTTGGTCTGCTTGACTGTGCCTTTGAATGGTAAAAAGGATGAGGTGCTATTTGTAGTCTAGATATACTCAGTGATGTGCCCCATTTTTTCAGACAGAAAACTTAGTGTTTTTGTTGTAAACATCAAGATGCTTTTCATGGCACTCTGGGTGCCCACATGAAAATTAATTATGGCATATAGATAGTATCCACATATCTGCCGTTCCACTTTAGTCATCCAGATGCAGCATGTCCTGATTGTTTGTAGCCATCAGTCACAAAGTTTGCTCTCGTAGATGACTGTAGGTGCAACTGAGGAAACACTTAGAGTCCAATAATAGTCCGTGCAGGAATGGCCTATTCATCCTATTCTGCTGTTGTTCCTCCCAAGGTATAAAATAATCACTGGAAAGCCTTCTGGTGCAATATCTGGAGTACAGAAAGCAGAAAATGGACCAATTGACTGGAGTGCAGACATGCCTGTTTCTTGTAGTCTTTCTCAGTAAGTATAGGTACCTAATTCTTAACCTTTGGTGCCAGTGTTCAAACTTTTGTATTGAAAAATCACAGATACCTTCAAATATCTAAGTGTATTTTCAGGGCTGTCAGTTTGTTGTTTGTTGCCCCGACCCGCAGGGCTTCAACGTGGGCTCCTAAGGGAGGAGAGTGGAAGGAATGGAAGAGGATGAGAAGCGCAAGGAAGGAAGCCAAGTCTGTTTGTCTGATCAAGGCCTCATTTATTAGAAATTTTTACCCAACTTATATAGGGAGAAGGCAGGAAAAGGGGGAAGGTAGTTAGCTGCTGCAGGAGACAGGAAGAGTGCTTTCATGTGTTAAATATTGCGCCTGCAAGATACCATAGGGGTGTTTTCTCAGGGATGCTCTAACAAACGGATGTCCTCACAGTCTATCACCCATGAGTTAGGGTCCTAGATAACTTTCACTAAATAGCTTTAGGTCTCCACTAAATGACCTTTGCTCACTATTTAGCTTTGGCCTAGTAAACGCCTTTTGTCTCCACTGGATAGCTTTGACTCACTAATTGACTTAGGCTTCAGTAGATAGCTTTGGCTCCACTAGATAGCTTTGACTTTGGCTTCAGTAGATAGCTTTGGCTCCCGGCAGTTTGTTGTTGTTTCTGTCAGTTTTGTGACCTGAGATTTTCTCTGTACCCCAGGCTAGCCTTGGACTTAGTATGTAGCCCAGACTGATAACTCTTCTGCCTCTAACTCCCACAAGCTGGGATGACAGGCATGGACCATCACCACTGGCTTTTTAGTTTAGTTTTATTTTTACCAAATTGAACCATGTGATGTTTTGTGTTTGGTGTGATGTAAATACTCTGAGCTTTAGGGATAATTTCCTGAGGATATAGGGCATGTGTTCTTAAGGCTGATTCTCATGGGTCTTGAAATTCTTTTCAATGTAGGAATCATGCTAAGGACTTTTATTTTGACTGTCATACTGATGGACCACAAATAGTGGTGTAACTAGGAATAAGGTTTTTTTAAATTGTACTTATAAAAAATAAGCATTACCAAGTTTAATATTCTCCTTATTAAAAAAAAAAATATTCAGTTTGTTCAAAGGAAAAAAAATAAGAATTTCTAGGCCCAGCACAGTGACACACACCTTTAATCTCAGAATTTGGGAGACAGAGGCAGGCAGATCTCTCTGAGTTTGGTACCAGTCTGTTATATATAGTAAGTTCCAGAAAAGCCAGAACCACACAAGATGAGAGCATGTCAAAAAAAAAAAAAAAAAAAGAAAAGAAAAGAAAAATGCATTCCTAGTACTTTCTCCAGCATTTCAAATATTTGCAGGTTCTTTCTTTATTTAGCAGCCATAAGTCTAAAAATTTTATTGTCAGATTATCACAAAGAAAAAAAAGCCAAGTGGTAGTTCATGCCTTTGACCCCAGAATTTGGAAGAACTGTGGGTTTGAGGCCAGCCTGGGCTATATAATGAGTTTCAGGATAGCCTGAACTACAGAAAGAGACCCTATCTCAACCCTCTTCCTCACTCCCCCAGGGGAAAAAAAGTTTCATTTTTTACTGCTTTAGACACTTTGTGGTGTAAACTTTCTGACATATCGTACATGAGTTTCTGGTTCTGAGCAGCTGATGTCACCTGGGTAGTCCTTCATGTCCATGATGGTTTTGGGAAAGTGAGGGTGTCTGAGAGGAGAGAACCAAAGGCAGTAATGCATAGCAGGTCAGATAACATGCTGCAATCCTTAATTCATTGGCAGGCTATCAGGTGAAGGTAATCTAGCTTTCTAGAAAGTTGCCTATCTTAATTTAAAAAAAAATATAAAAATGCAAGTGAGCATTGAAGATGGTGTGGTGTTCATAACTTGTTGAATGCTGATATGAAACCATAAACAGAAAATTCCGCACATTACCCCATGTGTAACCAGAATGTGGACTCACTAAAAAGACTGTAAAATCCTCCAAGCCATGTTTATTATGAATATATGAAAAAAAATTTTGCATTTGGACCTGAATCTAATCCCCATGATAATCACATATGTACAAATACCTCGAAATTTATTTAAAAATTCTAAAACTCAAACATTTCTACTTCAAAACTTTTTAGGTAGAGGATTTGCAGCCTGTAAAAATAATAGTGATTTATCTTAATCACTGTTCTGTTGCTGTGAAGAGACACCATGACCAAGGCAACACTTACAAAGAAAGCATTTACCTGGGGGTGGGCTTATAGTGTCAGAGGGTGAATCCATTATCATTGTGGCAGGAGCATGCTGGAAAAGGAATGAAAAGCTGAGAGAGAGAGACAGAGCAAAACAACACCTAATTTTTTCAGGAATTGCCACTCCATAGTAACTAAGCATTCAAATAGATGAGCCTGTGGGGGCTGTTCTTACTCAACCACCACACAATTCCTTTGGTTTGTTTTTATTGTTGTTTGTTTTGTTTTGTTTTGTTGCTGATATTATGCAAATATATGCTTTGCACTATGACACTCTCTCTTAAGAAGCTTTTTAAATACTATTTTAGGGGTCTTCAAGCACTGCTTACCCCAGTTCTTGCGAACATCCTTGAAGCTGATCAGGAAAAGTGCTGGGGTTTTGACCAGTTCTTTGCAGAGACTAGCGATGTACTTCACCGAATGATAATCCACGTTTTCTCGCTACAGCAGATGACAGCGCATAAGATTTACATTCATAGCTACAATACGTAAGTACCTCTGTGTTCTTCTCCTGTCTGTGACTGTATAATGTAATAAGCCTCTCCTAAACCAGGAGAGCAAACAAAAAAGATGCCTTGCCTTCACCAGCAGCACCCATGTCACTTATCGGAAATAAAAAGGATTAATTTTCTTAAATGTATACGTAAGAAAGTTCCTTTGTACTTTTGTTTGACAGAGCTAATTCTATGACTTTTTTAAGTGCCATGAACTGATTAAACTGAGCTGTTTTATTGAAGCTGTTGCCCTCCTTAAAATCAAAAGCCTAAGTCTTAAGTGTAGTAGATTTCCAAATTTAGTATAGTTTCATTTGCATAGTTAGCAGGAAAAACTTTATGGATACTCAAGAAATATTCGACATCTATTTTGCGTAAAGGAAAACACACCAGGCAATTTTTTAAAAATGTTATGTAATAAGACTGCATATAACTAAATACACACCTACGTGTCAAACTGGGAGGAGTTATATAGATTGTGTCAAAGTAAATATACTTAGTGGTGGCAGTTTACTATGTTGTAAGGTGCTACCCTTGAGGAAATTGGGTAGAGAGCATTTGCCTGGTTATTTCTTACAACTGCTTGTAAATTATCATGAATGAAGAAGCTGTGTGTGGGAGATAGGGTCAGGAAGATCACAAGTTTAAAGCCAACCTGGCCCACAAAGAACGTTCTAGGCCAGCTAGTGCTGTATAGGCCTCAAAAAACAACCGCTTCCTCCAAAAAATGAAGAATCAGATTCATTCTTTGTACCTCAGTCTGTTTGACAACATATAACCGTTTTAATACCTCATAAAACTCATGAAAAGGGGCCTGAAAGGTTGGCTCCATGGTTAGGAGCACAGAAGAGGACCCAGGTTTGATTCTCAGCACCCACATGGTGCTATAACACAATTGTCTTTAACTCTCAATTCCAGGGGATTTGATGCCCTCATCTGGCCTCTGCTGGTGTACCAGACATGCATATGGTACGCAAACGTATTTGTAGACAAAGCACCCATACACATACAGAAAAAATAAATCTGTTTCTAAAAAGTTGGTGTTTTGTTTGTTTTTCATTCATGAAAAGGGGAGTGAGGTCTAGCTAGCTTAGGGAAAGTGTCTGTTGAGTGTGCTTAAAGTCCTGACTTCAGACACAAGCACCAAAAACTGGAAAGAGAAAAAGACACAGTTTAGAAAACATATTTAGATATTAATAATCCAGTAATTAGATCTAATACAAGATAAGCAAAATGTAAATATAGCAATACTAATATAACCTCAGATGATTTTTATCACATTTGGGTTCTTTATAGCCTGAGTCAGCTGGCGCCATTGTTATGTATTGGACATCCATTTGAGCTTAAAGCCTGAGCCAGTCAGAGCAGCAGCCTGAGGTAGAGCCGTGTCACGTTGCTGGCTTTCTTGGATTTTGTGACTCTTTTCAAGGGGAATTTACTTTTTCTTCTAAAACCTCATTTTTGAAAACACTCTAATTTCTTAGTGTATTTAACAAAAGTCTTATAGTTGTGTTTCAGGTCCTGTTTTTGGCTCTTTGCATGTTTAGGTCACCTGACCTTCAACATAAAGATAGACAGGGTCAGGTAATAAGGAATTCCCATTTCTGCCATTTTAGAGTCTGTCTTAACAAGGCAGTGTTACCAGAACCTTCCATGTCTTATATTCACGGTGAGAGGTTGCTGCAGTGTCCAGGTCTTACCTCCAGTTCTAGCCAACGTTCTATTGTCCTTTCTTAAACTTCCCCACACAGTGCTGCTGTATTCCATGAACTGGTCTACAAACAAACCAAAATTAGTTCTTCAAATCAAGAACTCATCTATGAAGGACGACGCTTAGTCCTAGAACTCGGAAGACTAGCTCAGCATTTTCCTAAAACCACAGAGGAAAATCCTATCTTTGTCATAGGCCGGGAATCCTTACCTTTCGTAGGATTGAAATATGAAAAAAGTAAGTTGTGATTTTTTTTTGTCACGTTTTAAATGACCATTAAAAAACATTTGTCATTGTAAAACTGATGTTCAGTTTAATAAAGTTGACATTGATCTTAATGTAAAACTTTCTAAAAGAGTTAAAATTTCATAAATTTGTTTATAAAGATTACAAAGTTGAAAGGTGTCATGATTTTCTTCAATATTTTGTTTTATGAAGTGGTTTGTCATGTTTTTCTGTAACTTCTTTTAGTGTTTTGATAACTCCCAAAATAACATTGCTATCATAAATTTCAGCAAATATTTGTTTTAGCTAGTGTATATATAAGACATTCTGTCATCCTTTAGAAGTTAAGAAAAAAAAAATAGATCTACATCTTTGAAATTATCTAAATTATTTGTCCTACTGGTGGAGAAAAAAAAAAAAAAGAGTTCCCCAGAATTTTGCATCCACTTGAGACTTCAATATTAAATACAGATTGAAAGACAAGTATGGAGTTCATTGCGTTAAATATGTTTAACAACAATAACAAAAAGAACAAAAGAGGCTGGCGAGACAGCTCCTGGGTGAAGTTGCTGATCACGAAAGCCTGGCACCTGAGTTCAGTCTTGGAGCCCACGTGGAAGTCCCTGAGGCACTGCATACAGTGGTTCTCTGGTTCCTGCATAACGCTGTAGCATGTGTACATGAAAACAGTTAAATGGCTGGTTAGGGAATGAGCTGGCTGGCCTGCAATCGCTGGGTTCTGCCAGTGTCCACCCTGTCAGTGCCAGGATCCTGGGCCCAGGCAGCTGCCGCAGTCCCAGCGTCTTACATGGGTGCTGCATCTGATGTCGGCCTTCCCGCGCAAGTGCACATCAGGCACTCCTGCCATCTCCCAGCTGTCATGTTGCTGATGCTAGGGAAAGTGCCTGAGAGAGCGCTCATGACTGTGTAATGTAGACATACTGCATGCCATATACAGAATAAAGTCATTTGTCCAAACCTTTCCCTTCCTAACTTTATGTCTTTTCCTTTGTATTTCAGTTTCCCTACCCAAAGTACATCCACGTTATGATTTAGATGGTGATGCTAGCATGGCCAAGGTTAGTATCTTACTGATTTTCAGTAAGTGAAGTAATAAATGTATCGTGTGTCTAGGTATGACTTAGGAACATATTAAAGTATTACCCATTCCAAGAGTTTTATATTTTCTTTTCTTTTTTTTTTTTAAGATTTATTTTTATTCATACAGCATTCTGCCTGCATGTACACCTGCATACCAGAAGAGGGCACCAGATCTCATTATAGATGGTTGTGAGCCACCATGTGGTTTCTGGGAATTGAACTCTGAGACCTTTGGAAGAGCAGCCAATGCTCTTAACCTCTGAACTATTTCTCCAGCCCTTTCTTTTCTTTTCTTGAACTTAGTAAAATGGAATACTCTCTGTTAAAACATGTTTATATAATGATAAGAATTGAAATGTTTATTGTACTTACATCTGTCTAGCCTTTTAAAAAAAGATTGATTTATTATGTATACGGTGTTCTGTCTGCAAGTATACCTGCACACCAGAAGAGGGCACCAGATCTCATTAAAGATGGTTGTGAGCCACCATGTAGTTGCTGGGAATTGAACTCAGAACCTCTGTAAGAGCAGCCAGTGCTCTTAACCTCGTAGCCATTTCTCCAGCTCCATCTGTCTAGCTTTTAGACATTGGTAATTTATTTATCTGATGAAAATATGAAAGCCTGGGCCAGAGAGATTACTTAGAGGTTAAGCACACTGGATGGATGCTCTTCCAAAGGTCCAATTCCCAGCAACCACATGGTGGCTGACAACCATCTACAGTGATATCTGGTGCCCTCTTCTGGTACACAGGTACACATGCAGGCAGAATGCTGTACAAATAATACATAAATACACCTTAAAGAAAATATGAAATCCTGAATGCTTTTGCGTCAAGGTTCTCTTACTCTGTCCGCTATCAGCAGCAAATACTTTCTTTCCCCAGGCAGTGACGGGGGTTGTGTGCTATGCCTGTAGAATTGCCAGTACGCTGCTGCTCTACCAAGAGTTAATGCGAAAGGGGGTGCGCTGGTTGATGTGAGTAATACACGGCGATCTGAAAAGCAGGGTGCACAATGAACAAGTGATTGGAACCCACATTTCTTAATCCCACCACTGAGAAGACAGAGACGAGCCGGTCACTCAGCCAACCAGCCTCCTTGGCAAATCCCAGGTCTCAGAGAAAGACCCTTCTGAAAAAAGAAAAGTGGTTGACACTTGAGGAAAGACACTGGTGGCTGACCCATGGCCTCCACCTCACCCCCTCCCATACGCACACAAGATGTATACGGTTTGGGTCGTTTTTTTAAATCTTTTTATGAAGGTCATCTGTCCATCTGGTAAGAGCAAATGGATCTCCTTCAAGACCACGCTACTGTTGTGCACATCATGTGTTGGTTGTGCATTCTGCAGACCTACCGTGTGACCTTGATGTGAAAGGCCCCCGGGGAATGCTTTCCTGGGCTGCCCTCAGTGCAGTTTCTGGGGCTCTAACGCTTGTGACAGTCCACATATGTTGACACTGATATGTTTGCACTCTGTGTCATTCTGATTCCTGGCTCTCGGTTTTTGATCCTGGAGCCCACCGTGTAGCCCAGGCAGGTCTTAAATTCATGATCTTCCTGCCTCCACGTCCTGGGTGCTAGGACACAGGTATTTCCCACCTTTCCTGTGGCTAGCAAGTGTCCAACAAGCCACACGGCCTGTGCTCGTAACGGCTTTCATGTGGTCGCCTGCTGTCACGGGCAGCTTAGTGCTGGGACAGCTTACCGTGGAGGTTGGTTCCTGGCGTGCGTCTCGAAGAGATTAAACGTGCCAGATACAAACGGCATTTGTTTCCCTGTCGCTGCAGTGGGTCAGTGGTTTTGATTATTTTTGCTTACTGTACTGTAAGTTTTAAGAAAATTTTCATGTAACCCTCAATATCGGGTTTTCTTGTAGGTTTTCTTACCCGGGTGTTAGGCTTTCTTGGCCACATGGGATGTCCTCTTTATTTGTTATTTTTTTTTTTTATCACCCTGAAAGTAATTTGTAGGCCATAAAAAAACAAAACAGTTTAGACCTTGTTTGCTGATCACTGTTGTAGTCCAGAGGTCCTTTCATTATGTGTTCATGTGTCAGTCAGCCTCTTTCAGAGGTCACACGTGTGCCACAAGCAGCAAAATTAATTTAATGACACAAGTCTTACATGACCGTTGTGTGATTATTGGTTAGTGTGTGATCCTTAATGTAATTTTAATGCCTTGGGTTTCTAAACTTTAACCTAATTAGTGATAGTCTGTGAAGTATAAATGTCCCAGATGTGAAAGAGTCATAAGAAAAACTGTTTAATTGAGCCCACCGTGAGAATATGACACAGAAATGTTTTTAATAGGTCCCTAAAATTTTTGACATTTAAAATTCATGAAATGTGTTTAAAGTAGAATTTCATAAAATTTAACGATAGTCCACAAATAGTCCTTCAACTAAGGGGATACCATTGCTTTTCAGTGAATTAGTTAAAGATGACTTCAATGAAACTGTCCACAAGAAGACAGAAGTGGTGATCACATTGGATTTCTGCATCAGAAACATTGAAAAGACTGTGAAAGTGTGAGTAGATACATCTTTGTAGGAACAGGGTAAATGTCCAGCACTAAGCTGCTGTTTTAATTATCTTTTATCACAGCAGGGCAGAGTGTGCAGGGTTGGATCTTGGTGCAGCCTGGCTGAGTGGCTGCTTCTTCCCACACAGGAGAACACCGGTTTCTCCTAAGGGATTAGCACCATCATTGATGGCATTTCCCCTACCTTTCCTGAGTGACAGGCAGTGAAGTAGGACCACCCCTTACCTGTCTTGGAGTTGGACGGGAAATAGAAGCAGCTTCTGGAGCAGCCCCTTGATGGGATTTTTGGATTTTAGGAACAGCATCTTTAGGGGCCTCTGAGATGGCTGAGCGGGTAAATGTGCCTACTGAACCAGCATGGTGACCTGAGTGCTAGCTCCAGAACCCACAAAAGGCTAAAGGAGAGAGGCAGCCCTCTGCATGTACTAGGACATATGTGGTCCAGCCCCATGCACAGACACACAACCTTAATAAGTTAAAAAAAAGTTACAGATTTTCCATTCTTAACTGTTCTTCTCTTTGTAACAATGATAACTTAAATGGCGTTTTAGGATACACTATTTGTACTGCAGGGAAATATAATTAAATTTAGTCAATATGTATAACTGAAGTATACATTAACAATTACATAAATAACTTTATATATTACAGCATAACTTGATTCGAAATTAACTTGCCTTCTCTATTTTATCCTAATCTGTGCATTTATAATGGATGTACAATATGTACAGATCCCCAGTACATGAATTCCCAGACTCCCCAAACAAGCTCAGACAGAACCAAAGCATGAAACCTAAGCCCTACAGTTGCTGGACAGTTCATCCCACGACTAAGATCACTACTAAGTAACCATGCAGTGGGTAACATTCCAGTGTGGATCTGTAGTAAAAAAGGCACTGCCTGTCTCAGGCTGGAAGGAGCAACTGGCATATGGCTTCATCAAGCTACTCAGAATGGCTTGCAACTTAAAACAGGAAATGCGTGTAGAATTTCCACAAAATACTCTCTAAACACCCTTAACCACCAGTACCCGCAACCTCTAAATTAAAAATCACAGATAGAGGGGGTAGCAACTGTGCGGGAAGGCAGCAAAGATTTCTTAGAATCTGTTGGTATAGAGACTTGAATAAAATTTTTATTGAGTGAATATGACAATAAATTTCATGAACTCTGAAAAAACCTGTATTTTTCATACCCACTCATTTCTTTTCTGTGATGTATTTTTTTCATACAGATATGAAAAGTTGATGAAGATCAACCTAGAAGCAACAGAGTTGGGTGAAATTTCAGATATACATACCAAACTGTTGAGAGTAAGTACTGGGAAATCATGAGAGCTACAGGCCGTGATCTGCTCGCCTGCTGCTGAGAGCTAGCGTAAGCCTCCCGAGAGCAGCACTATCGCTAAAGCTCTGTGGAAAAGGGTTACCTTTCCCCATATCTTACTCTATTTATAGTCTTTTCTTCTTCTTCTTCTTCTTCTTCTTCTTCTTCTTCTTCTTCTTCTTCTTCTTCTTCTTCTTCTTCTTCTCCTCCTCCTCCTCCTCCTCCTCCTCCTCCTCCTCCTCCTCCTCCTCCTCCTC